TATTATCAAATCCACATGCAGGACTGCATTTCCTTGTAGCTGTGGTTTTACAGTAACGTCATTAAAAGATACATACGGTTGCTTATGCCGCATATTTTGATATTTGATATATTATTACAATTTTGTATAAAATCACATAAAAAAAGCATTAAAGTTACTACTAACAACTACAAGTACGGAAACCTCGATGTGCATGTCCTTCTCTCATTTGTCTGATTTTTTTAAAGTTATTATCTAAAAGAATCGTGATGAATTAGTAAGATAATACTGTGGATGTCCCTATTATCCGTGTCAGTGATAAGTTACTTAGTTATAATAATTATAATGTATCATCTCAGAATCCCCAGGGATCGCACTTATCCCCTATTTGTTGACGTTTTCATAAACGATCTTATAGAACGCTTAACGTGTCCATGCTTGCTCTATGCGGATGATCTCAAGATGTTTATGACAATAAACAACCAGAACCATGCGGAGGTTCTTCAGGAAAATCTGAACATCCTCGACCGGTGGTGCACTACAAATCACATGCTATTAAATGTTGACAAATGTTTTATCGTGTCCTTTACTAATAAAAAGCACAAACTTCTTTATGACTATAAATTGCATGGAAATAATCTCGAGTGAAGTAATGTTGTCAAGGATCTTGGTGTCTTCTTTGATGAGAAGCATACTTTTCGAACTCATAATAAATAAGTGTAATCGCACACTTGGTTTTATTTTGAATCGTACTAAAGGCTTCACGAATCCAGAAAGTCCAATTTATTTATATAAAACTCTTGTAAGAAGTGTTCCGAATTAAATACTGTCATTTGGTCACCGTTTTACAATGTTCATGTGCAGAGCATAGAAGGAGTCCAACGCAGATTTCTCAGGATACTCTGCTTTCACAAAAGATAAAGCGTTACGAGGACAGGACGACAAGGTTCAATATGCAGTCCCATGAGTCACGTCGTAAGTATTTAGATTTAAACTGCCTAATAAAATCGCTAACCTGCACACGGACAGTTCATCGCTTCTTTTGCTTCTGAATTTTTATATTAGATACAAGTCTCGCAATCATAAATTTTTTGTACTTCAAGTATTTACTAACAATACTTCTTAGTATAACCCAATAGTCAGGATGTGTCGTGCCTATAATGAATTGGATGATGTGCATAAGGATGTGGACTTGTTAAGTCTCAATCAGAATCATTTTAAAAAATGTGTTATAGAATTCGTAGGTCAAGCGCTTTGATATAATAAGTTTTTTTAGCTTGATTTATTTAATTCAATATGAACATAATAATATCGTATTTCATTGATTTGCTAATATTTTGTTTTTATTGTGATGTAAAAAAATTATATCGATAAAATTACTTACAATTGATTTAAATATATTTTAAATCAATTGTAAGTAATTTTATCGAATTTATAGTTTTCAATTCAATTTTATTTGAATGAATTTTATTTAATGCAATTCAATGTAACATTTAATATCGATTTAGTGTTATTTGTTTTATATAACTAGATTTTTTGTCTATGCATGTTAAGGGTTACATCTTGATCAATTCGTCATTATTAATAAGTCAGCGCTTTGTTGATTGAAATATGTAATGTATACCGAATAATTAAATAAAAATAAAAAGGATAACCCCTAACGAAAACCGAACGCACTTAAACAAAATTACTGCAGTGCTATTCCGTAAGAACAAACTCTCATTTCACCACGGAATCTGACGGTAAAATTGCACATTTTATTTGAAATTCAAATTTTAAATCAAACCGCGGATTAAAATTCGATGTGAATAGGTAGTGGGTTAAATTTTTTAATTTTCACAAGAAATCAAGCTTCTCTGCAATAATTTTGCATGATAAGCTTAATTCTTACTTTGTGACTTTTTTATAATAAAAAAATTTAAAACGCGACATTCTTCAAATTTAATTGTAATTTAGAGAACAAAATTATATTAAAATGTTGCTGAAAACCTAGAAAGGTAACATTTTGACATAACCGAGAGCAGTGCGAGCTGTTATCACTTTACTTGTTTTCACAAGAGATATGACATGTCTTGTTGAGATGATTGATGTGCGAGGTCGATTGTGGAAATGTACTTACTTTGAAAACACCAAGGTTGGTGACCTTGGGAACTGTGACGTCAAAAGAAATTTATATTAGATAAGTTGCCATGTAATTATTGGAGTTAATTGTATAATCACATAATATGAACGCTTTGAGTAGCACCTGATTGAAATATTGGTGAAGATTTTCTTATAAAAACTCATTATGAGAAGCCTGATATAAAATAAATACATCAAATAATTTATGAACTTTAAATCTAAAGAAAATATAACTAGAAAAAAATCCACTCGGACCAGGCAGCAGACGGGACTTGAACCCGCACCCTTCGCAATGCACTGACCAATTATGCTACCGCGCCCCTCACGGACCGCGTCCAAATTCCTCTAGCCATTCTTAAGCTGCAAGGCAGCGCCATCTCTTCGCATTGTAGGTAACCCACAATGTTAAATGAATACTTTTACAAGTATTAAACATTTGAAAGAAGAAATAGCAATTATAATTATAATTTTTATTTCTTTTAAAGCATGTAACTGCTTGATGTTTTAAATCTAAAGAAAATATAACTAGAAAAAATTCCACTCGGACGGATTGCGAAGGGTGCGGGTTCAAGTCCCGTCTGCTGCCTGGTCCGAGTGGATTTTTTTCTAGTTATATTTTCTTTAGATTTAAAACATCAAGCAGTTACATGCTTTAAAAGAAATAAAAATTATAATTTATGAACTTGTCATCTTTCATATCTGCCTGTTTGCTGCCAAAATAAAGAGAAAAAAATATCATAAACCATAGATAATCTATAATAAAAAATTAAAAGACAAGATATGATAAATTTGTACTTAATAAAAATCTGAATTGCACGACTCTGTCAATTGATAGATTTTATTGACATAAAATCTTTTGTTTATCTGCATGTAACATGAATATTCACATCTAATAAATACCTATGTCGAAAATCAGTTACGATTGGTTCCTAACATTAGTGCTACAAAAGATTACGTCTGAACAAACGAATGTGGCAAAAAAGTCGTATTAAATTTTCAGCAAAGACATAAATCAATATGAACCGAAGCATAAATCACTATTCAATTGTTTCACAATGAATTAATTTTCTACGTCTTTGCGACAAAAGTATTTAAATTAGCCAATTCAGAGCTGAATGCAAGGGAGTCGTTTTATCTTCAGTCACGAGGGTAAAATTTCTCGTGAGGGATACAGCCTTGCCACCTCATCATTGTTTACTTAATAATAACAATATTTACTAAAGGTGCATTATTTTATTTACAATTCTAAGTTAACCGTAGCAGCGACATATTCTTAGTATTTTTTTTACATTCATGTAAAACTTAAACTGTAAATGAAAAAAAATTAAACTGTAATAAGTGTTTCATTTTCCTTTTTTTCTGCAATATGGTGAATATTGAATTATTTGAATTGTTAATTTACAAATGAAATTTTTGGATATGAAATAGCTTTTGCTAGTAAAATAATTTATTTCACAAAAATTAATTAAATGCATATTTCATCAAACCACACACTGCTTCATTCTGTATTTTTCGTAAAGAATCATCATTAATTTTGATTGTATTTAATTAGTTTTAAAGTTAATTGACTTTAAAACATAATTATTATCTTTATGATTTTATTTATTTTTTAAGCATTTAACTGCTAGATGTTTAAATCTAAAGAAAAGTTTACTAGAAAAAAATCCACGCGGACCAGGCAGCGGACGGATAATTATTATCTCCTATGGTCATACTCAGAGATCTGGCCATAGGAGTCACTCGTTAAAGTTTCATTGGAACCCGACTGTTTTATAGACATTGGATCACGCTGCAAGCTTTGCGAGAGTAAAGATGAACCGTGACTCAATAAGAATATCCTTTGAAACTGATTAAGAATATAAACACAGGGCACAGTCGATTCTCCATTTCCTTTATATTTATTTGAATCAATTAATGACTGGTAAAATTGTTAAGGTTTCATAATTACACATTTAGTGAGTTAGCGTGGGGATATAAAAAAGAAATTAGGAAAAAACTAATTTTGCGTGAATTTTACTGTAAATGTAAATCGTTTTCTTAATTAGCTAATTAAGTTTTTCGGGTAACACATAATTTACGGTGTATATTGTGTTTTTGATCTAAAGAAAATTTTATTAAAAATTAATCCACGCGGCCTAGCAGTGCTATTATGTAAAATTATCACGCGCAGATCCACATCGGATCCGAGCTTGAAGATTTTACAGAATAGCACTGCAGGCAGCGGGCGGGACTCGAACCCGCAGCCGCACCCTCCGCCGTCAGCAGCCTGGACAGCGTGGATTTTTAGATCTATAACACAGCAGTTAAATGCTTCAAATGAATATAATAAAATTTGCGTTATTGTTTTTCGATAAGTAAATACATAAGTTGATCAATCGTTCGTCGATCATCTGTTGCGGACCCTATTTTATCAATAAAGTGTCAAATAAGAACCTAATAGTAATTTCCGCTTCTAGTTCATCATCTGGGCCAGACGGGCAAAACAATCAGTTCATATAAACACCATACAATTGCAGAAACAATATGCCGCCCGGGACGCAATAAACTTGATCCCCGGGAACCCCTGGAATATCGATGCTTGCTCCTTCGTTGATGTTTCTTTTAGCTATTCGTCTTTTACGTAACGCAATATTGGGTGGACGGTATAATGTATTGTCTTCTTATAGAGTCGCAATGACTTTTGCAGTTGACAGTCGACTGCCTTAAACATAATTATTTATTCCTTTAAAAAATTAACTGATTTATGTTAAAAAGGTGGCAAACGAGCATATGGCACCGACAGAAACACAACACCACCAAAAGGTAGTGTTATTTTATTGTAGTATATATCTGATAAAACATAGTCTATATATATGTTTTTCTAGCATTATCTGTTAATCCGACTTATCTGTTCTATCTTTAAGTTTTTCCAGTATTAATATCAACTACATTGTTTGCAAGTAGGTAATCCCTTGGATTTAACTTCGCTAAAATATTTTTCAGCGTGCCTCGTTCGTATACTCAGTGTTATTTGTAACCGTAGGGCGGATCGAACTAAATACAACTTTTACGAACATTTCTTTTTTTAACAGAAAGACAAAAATCCTAGCTTCTTTTTCTATGTTTTTCTATCATCAATATCAACTATATTGCTGCAAGCAATACAGTTCCCGTGGATTTAACTTCGCTTAAGTATTTGTCAGCGTTGTATACTCAGTGTTCGCTGTAACCACAGGGCGGATCGGCCGCCCTACCCGTTGCTACCCTCAGTCCACGCCCGCCCGGCCCGCCGACCGCTCAGCAAACATCATTATCGGTGCACAACCGCAACTCAAGCTCGTTAAACGACGCAACAAGTTCCTTTAAGTACTTCGAAAATGTGACCGAAAAGAAAAAACACCTTAGCTCTTTTTCGAAAAAAAAAAGTTCCTGTATAATCGTTACGTAATCATTTTTTCCTAAATTTGAAGACAGAAAGAAAGAAGGAAAAATATTTGGAGAAGTTTGCGATGAAATAGTGCTGTGGACACTTTGTATTACGCTAGCTTTAAAAAATGTTGTTTGTTATTCCATCGTTAAGTTACTTTTACAAGCTTTAATTTACCACATTTTAAATTTGGTGAAGTTTGTGATAAAATAAGTGCTTAGTAATTAATGTTAAACTTACATAACGTTAGCTTTCTTTGAAAAAAAAACATGTTTCTTTAAAACTTATCATCATTAAATATCCATTGTTTTGCCTAAACTTGGTGAAGTTTGCGATGAAATCAGTGCTTAATAATAAACGAGCAGACTCTACGTAGATGTATGAGTAAATTTCGAAATGGCGGATAAGCTACACGAGTATCAAGGAGTGACGGGACGTTTGCACGGTGTCAGAGATAAATATAAGGAGCGTTTAACGAACTGGCGCGAGCAGCATCCCCGTGGGGTCCGAGATGTCTTGAGAGATTCCTTGTTCGGCATACCCAGCTCGGAAGAACCACCAGAGAGGATATGGCAGGACAGCGAGTACAGCGACTTGTTCAGGTAAAAAAACTTCAAAGAATAAATAGCTTAAGACAATCTTAAGTTTAAATACAACCCGCTTATCTAAATAGGAAGACTTCGATTTGATTAATGTAAGATGTAAGAGTCCTATTCAAAACGGTGAGGTCAATTTGAATTAACACTCAATTTCTTTGCAGTTTTTAAATTACTTCTGTCATTTTTATGTGCAATATTGTAATAATAATTTTGTGTGCTATGACAAGGAACCATTATAGTTTCGTCATGTCTGTCTGTCTGTCCGTCCCCGGTTTTGCTTGGAGACTGTGAGCACTAGAGAGCTGCAATTTTGTGTAGATATGTATATCGATCACGCCAACAAAATGGTAGAATAAAATTTTGAAAATATTTCCGGAATCCAAAGACTATTTTTCGATTTAGGAATATACGATTCCGTTTGCGAAATATTGAACTTAAAAGTGCTAATTTTGCAACCCCTCTAAAAGCTAAACTATTGGCTTGAAAACCTGGAAACATTAATGATAACAGTGCTTTTTATGAACTTTTAAGAAAAATTTAAACGGTTAAGATATATTTGTTAGTTTAATAATAATACTCGTTCAATTTTTGTTAAAAAAAATTTCTTACCTATTGAAAATTCCTTAGAAGAAAACATGAATAGTGACAAAGATGAAGTTATTGTAGCGTAAAACTTTGCATTAAATAACAAAATATTAAAAAAAAAAAATTACAAACCACAATAAAATTTCATTAGTTCCACAAAGCTACCAACCAACCAACCACGGCTTTTGAATAGCGCTATCGTTACGTTTTTATAAAGACTTGAAAGAATAGGGTTTTTTTTTTTAATTTTAAATTTACGGTGCAACAAAATAAAGACTTCCACTCAAATATATTGTGGTTATTACAGGCAACTACGGAACCCTACATTGCGCGTGACACGACACACACTTAGCCGGTTTTTACTTTTTAAGATTCACTTATATCAACGATTTTTCATTTAATTTGGTTGAAGTTGATCATTTAATTTCCTTTACAGGATAAAAATAAAAATAACACCATCAATGAGTAATCCAACAAGTTTTATTTACAAATTTACTGGTTCCAAGCTAATGTCTGTTCTGTTATAAAATAGGGCGAAAACCCTATTCATGTAGCTAATACTCATTATCGGCTTGAGACTTAATCGTACTTAAACTGTAGGTCTTCATCAAGTGCAAGTTCTAAAGATACGTTTAGATACAACGACGTTGTTCAATACATTTATCTATAAAGTTTCTATATTTTTGAATTAAGAAAATATATTTTTGATTCAATTTTATAAAATTAATTGATGTTATATATGTTTTTTAAACATTTAACTGCTAAATATTTAAATCTAAAGAAAAAATTACAAGAATAAATTCCACGCGGACCAGGCAGCAGACGGGACTCGAACTCGCACATATCGTTTTTCAACAGCGCAGCGTAATCATGCTATTAAAATGTTTTTACTTCTGACGTGTAGTCCTACGATGAATGGCAGTTTTTTTGTATTGCCTTTTCTGCAAACTGGACTAGGTGACCTAAATTTGTAGTTCGCTCCCTTGGAAAATTATGTAGGTTAGATACCATTAAAGTAACTTGCCCTCATATATAGGGATTTTAGAAAACATCCACTAATGAAATTAATATTTGTTGGTATTTTAGTACCTGTTAATTTGATGTCTAAGAAGATCTTTAGGTACTTATGTTATGAATTAAAAAGTTACTTTTATAAATGTTACGTAGTACGTATTCACGCCTACACCCCTAAAGCGATTTTCATGAATTTGAGTTTTAGGGATGGAAGTATCCGTAGCATGAGTCATTCTCCATAGTGATTTGACAATTAAGTGTGATAAAAACGCATTTTATATCATATCGCGGTGTTCTTGCTAGGGGGGCAGAGAAGGTTTAAGATGTGCATAATAATATTATAATAATTTCTCACTCATTATTTCAGAATGACATTAAAAATGTAGGTAAGTAGCATATAAGATAAGAGAAAAACGTGATTTAGAAATATTATGATGGGTAAGAACTATAATATCGTTAAACAAAGTAATGTACATAATGTTAAATGAGCTGAGTGATGATAGCATGTGCCTGTTTATTGATTTAAAAAGTTTGTTTTATAATATTCAGGTGCTTACAACTGTTTGATTAATACAGTAGCACACATTGAGATTCATGATAACATTTAAGGAATTGTAAGTATTATAATAAAAAATTACGTCATACTTAGAGAGGAATTGCAAAATTCTCTAAAATACTTCTCCGACAAAATTGATGAGTTTGAAGCTAAGCTCAAGAACTTCATCATAGAGAAGTAAGCTATGGAAAACCAGTGTATTGATTCGAGAAACAATATGACTAATACAAAACTAAGATGTGAGGTCCTAGAAAATTAGACCAATTATAATAAAAAAGTAATGAAATTTCACTAGGTATTTTCCCCCTGATCCATATATCCCTACTGACAAATCTCCACTAGTAGGGATACTTGGAGTATTTTTTCCATTTATCGCTACCAGTTAAAATATATGCAACTTTCCCTTCCATATGCCCCTATTGATCCGCACTGGTAGGGATACTTGGATATTTTTTTCCATTTATCGCTGCCAGTAGGATTAAATTTTCAAGTTTTTTTTTATGATTAACTAGTTGTTCCTGTATTACTTGTGATAGTGATTTTTTTATAAATATGAAGTATTCTTGATATTTTATTGAAGCAGAAAACAATAAGTTGCTTAATGACATTGTCAATTTCCTTTTTTGATAAAAAAAAAACATGGCTAAAAGGTGCTGATTATATAACATTGAAAAAAATCTTATTCAGACTGAAAAATACTTAATTTCTTTCCATTTTTATAACCAGAACCTCTTAGCCATGTGTGGTAGTATGGCCTTGGTACTTTATCAGAATAATGATTTTTACATGGGAAACTAAAATGAGAACACTAAGTTATAACTTTTATTTTTTAAGCATGTAGCTGCTTCATCTTTAAATCTAAAAAAAATATAACTAGAAAAAAATCCACGCGGATCAGGCAGCAGACGGGACTCGAACCCGCACCCCTCGCTATCCGGGCGAATGCACTGACCAGTTATAATAACACATTAATAGAGAACATATAGGTTAGACCAAACCATAGGCGTATTATTCCTCAATGATAATATATCAATGGTCCACCTAGGTGAACTAAGAGTCAGGACAAGTCTCCGGAGTCCACCTTAGTGAACTTGTTAGGTGAGGTTAGGGTAAAAAATGGTATGGAAGTATAATTTTATATAAGGATAAGTTGACTCTAATAAAGTTATGTTTTTAACAGTAGGTAATTAAGTATGGGTTTGTTTATATTAAAATCATTATCGCGACTTTGTTTTCTTTCTTTTACAAATTATTCAGGAAACCAATTTAATCTAGAAATCGTTAAAAAATTATCCCTACTTGTACCAGTGCGGATCATTAGGGATATATTAAATAGAAAGTTCCATACATCCCAATTGGTAGCAATAAATGGAAAAACAAACTCGTGGAGATATGTCAGTAGGGATATATGGAACAAAAATTTTAAACAATTCATACATTTAAAGCATTATTCGATAGTAACAGGTATGAGGCTGCATTCACTTGGATAGCGAAATTTGATTTCAGCAACTTGGTCCAGATACAGGAACCAAGCAGAATTTCATTTTTTTCTTAGATTTTTTATATCGTTATTTTTAATGTTAAATGGGTTGCAATCAAGTTTACATTCCGTCTGACGATACGTGGCCGCCAAAGGCTTAAGAAAATAGGGATTTGCGATACCAGAGTTTTAATCACACCGTTGCTTAACTGATCCTATTCCCTATCCCGTGAAACACTGGACTAGAACCGTACATCAGAAATATTAGCAGAAATACAACACCACCAAAGAAAAGTGTTAGATGTAAGAGTATTCCAAGTACGAAGTAAAAAATAAAAATAATAAGATATAACACAACAAACAGCTTGCTTGCTTGGTTCTGATATGGTGTTATAATGCGAGGAAACGCTTATTTCGCTCAAAGCTTACGAGATCTTACTAACTAACATCTAATTTAATAAATATTTTAGGTGAAATAATGTTAAAGTCATTCATTTTAGGTGTGTCCGTAATGTAAACCAGTATCACCAGACAAATAGCACTGACTTGTTCGAGTGGCTCTGTGTCAAAGGACTTTAAGGATTGCGATAAAATCTTATAGAGGCTGAAAAGCATCCAAGGACTAATTCATTCTTTTATCAAATAATCTTAATATACTTTCCTACTCCTAATTGATAATACAGGCAGTGTCTGACTCAGTTATAATATCATTATTATATTTATCTTTTCAGTTACTAAATTTCAGGTGTACACTGGTTCAAAGGAAATTACATTTAAGAATTTTCCTTATTGACAAATTGACGGAGATTGATCGAAAAGTTTTGTGGTTTGCGCCGCGACGGACGGCGGAAAAAGGAGATTTATAGCAATGAAAAATAAACACAAAATTTTATTACCTCCACGATTTATTTATGAAAGGAAAATTGCAATAATAACGCAATTTGTTTTGATAATATTGGTGTGAAACAAAAGAAATCGTTTTATTAATGGAGACGCCAATACTTTTTATTACTTTTTCACAAAACATTTATGTTTTTCTCTTTAGGCAACAAACAGTTATTAAATAAAACGTTCTCAGTAAAAGTCTTTCTCAGAAAAAACATTGGCTGCCATGCCACAAATATTTTACAATATTCTTTTGAGCTTAACAAAAAAAAAGACATAATTGTATATATTTCACAATTTATCATTTTTTTCTTTTTCTTTGTCCCTTAAACGATGAATCTCGCTAATATTATATACTTTTCTTCTAATGCCAAAAATACACCTAATCACTATTACTTTTATAACACCTTAAATACTTTTCATTTGAATGTTAAGTTACACTTACAGAAAGGGTCTATTTCTGAGAATTCTTTATAATGTAAACCAATACTTCTGTAGGTGAAACAATTTTAGGAATTAAGGAACCATTTTAAAGCGAGGCACAAGCATATCATTGACATATACGTCATACTTCGTAAATAAATGGCGAAAACACTTATTACTTATAGATTTATAGGGTTTTATGAAATATTAGTTATAGGATGTGTCTAGGGTGCTCACTCATGAATTAAATTGCATGTTGTCGTAATCTATTAAGAAAAACAGTTAAGAGCGAAGACCTAAGGACTACTGCTAAATTCTCACCTTAGTGCTACGAGGGCGTTTGTCATCATCACAGCCTATTAATATCCCCACTGCTGAGGCATAGGCCTACCCTATGGATGGAACAGGAAGATTAGGCCGTGACCCAATACGCGGGCTCAGTGAGGATTTGTGGGTACTACCGACTGCAGATGCAGCTGGGACCGACGGCTTAAAGTGCTTTCCGAAGCACGGAGGAGCTCGAGATAAAAAATTTTTGGTCACCCATCCAATGACCGACCATTGCTAAAGTTGCTTAACTTCTACGTGCTAACCACCTGCTTCAATGAATTTTTCGAGAGCGTTCGTGTTGACCTAAATTTATTGTCTCGTGATCATAAATGAGTATGATTAATTGTATGCAATTAGGCAACGTTGTGAACCTGTATATAATTTCCATGGCCTGGTGCTGGGTCGCGACTCACTATTTGGGAAACGCTGCACCAGAAGAGTGTATATCATCAGTTGGTTTCTTTGTTTTATTGCACACCTAATGGCCAAAATATTTATTTTAGACGTAAAAGTCGGATCGAGCTCATGAGGATATCAGCTGCAGTGATGGGCATTGAATTCTCTTATGCTGGGGAGACTGCTTTCGTGTCCCCGACCTTACTGCAGATAGGGGTACCCCACCAGCAAATGACACTGGTGTGGGCACTCTCCCCCCTCGTCGGGTTCTTCATGACCCCACTGCTGGGCTCGTTGAGTGACAGATGCAAACTCAAGTTTGGAAGACGAAGACCTTTCATTGTTCTAATGTCCTTCGGCGTTTTACTGGGTAAATATTTATTTTTAAATGAAGAATGGATTAATGGAATTGACAGTATTATTTTTGTAGTTAAGTTATAATAATATATAACTCCTTCTTATATTAATTATATCCTCTTTCTTATTTTACTTCTGATGTTTGGACGAAAAAGTCCATGAATCAATGTTAATGTACGCACTGCGGTAATTCGATAAAAAATATCTAACATAGAAATACAGTAAATTTTAAATTCATATTATTTCAATCATAGTAGTATCGTAATAGGTCGTAAAGCTTAGTTTTTCCCCTATCTTCATTTCAGATTGAGTGGTAACAAAATTAAAAAATAATTCCATTATATAAAAGTACATTTAACTTCTTTGCCTTACATTTATTAGACAATTTTACTTTTAGTAAAAAACACATTAAATTTTGCAGGTCTCATATTAGTTCCCAATGGAGAAGCAATTGGCTACGCACTTGGTGATGAGAGACCAGCCAATAGAACAGATGTCCCATCAATCCTCGGGCCAAGGAGCGTTGCTCTAGAAGAAGATCGGCCCAACTACCACCCCTGGGGTGTCCTGTTCACGGTTCTAGGAACTGTGTTCTTGGATTTCGATGCAGATGCATGTCAGAGCCCGGCACGCGCTTATCTCCTTGATGTGACAGTTCCAGGTCAGTAATGTTTGACTGTGATATTTATTGTTTTGGCTCCTGCCTCATTATGACCTGGTTTCTTTTTTCTTAAGGTCATTGTCGCGTTTATCAGTATTTTTGTTAGTTTTTCTCTATTTCCATTAAGGGCAGATTCGGTGCACTTAATATTAAATGTCTTTTTCGTGTATTTACTTATTAAAGTATTGTTTACTGATTGAAACTGTTGGGTTGTAAAAATAGATCTTGTTTGTGTAAATTTAAAGTGAAACAGTATGTTTAAATCTAAAGACAATAGTTTTTTTAAGAATTGGAAAAAAAAACTTTAGTTTAAACATCTAGCGGATAAGTGCTAAAAAAGTTAAAAATATAACTATAATTGCTATTTCTTCTTTCAAATGTTTAATACTTGTAAAGGTGTTCATTTTACATTGTGGGTTACCTACAATGCGAAGAGATGGCGCTGCCTTGCAGCCTAAGAAAGGCTAGAGAAAATTCGACACGGTCATCAGAGCCGCGGTAGCATAATCGTGCCAGTCAGTGCATTCCCTCGGATAGCGAAGGGTGCAGGTTCAAGTCCCGTCAAAAAAATCCTTAGATTTAAATATCTAGCAGATAAAAGCTCAAAAGAAGATAAATTTTCAGAATCAAAAACCCGACTGCTTTATTACTACTTCAAATAAAATTGGAAAAAAGGCCAGTAGTCTAATAATTCTGTTTATAAGGAACAAAGCTACTTTAACAGTTGGGATCCGTAAGAAATTCAAGAATGGATAATTTTTTTTTTCTGCCAAACTAGTAGGTATTGCAAATGGTGCAATCCTAGCACTTATTTTCCAATTATTTTTTTCTAACTAAAAACAAAATAAAAATTAGTTTATTTTTAAATCTTTTTCTTCAATTAACATTTATCTATACTAATATAATCAACAGGCAAGAGTTGTATCATTGTAACAAATCTCTCAAACATTATTTTATTATATTTTCAAGCATTTATCTCAATATCGTTGATTAATTTGCTCGACTTGTAAATGTATACTACTTCTCCAAGATGATTTTTTTCTATTGAAAATTTTCTTTATAGCTACATTATATCCGAGTGATATAGGTATACTATATTTTATCCCATTAAAAATTAATTTCACTCGTGCAATGCCAGGGTGGATCACTAGTAAGTATAATATTATAGATGCGAAAGTGAGTTTGTTTGTTACGCTTTCGCTCCCTAATAGCTAAATCGATTATGATGAATTTCCTTATACAAATAGATGGGACCTTCGTTCTAAGCTACATTATCGAAATACTTTTAGGGGTAGGGTGATGGAAGGAGTGATTTACCTATACAACTTTGTATTATTTGCTTCGAATTTTGCAGAATTATCTCTTATCTATTAGACAAGTCCGTCCGTCCGTCCGTCCGTCCGTGGTGCTGTTTCAGCGGCCAAACCGTAAGAGATAGATAAAGAGAATGTTTAAGTTATAAGTTGAGAATAGTCTGATAAGACTACAAACCGGATGTGAGTAACGTAGCACTTCCGGTTTTCGAGAAATCACATGATTTCTATTTCAAACGAAACCACACAAAATCTCCGAAGTTCTCAATTAATTAAATACATTTTTTTTTTGGTGAACATTTGGTTCACTGGTTTGCTAGTCTCTTATCTATTAGACAAGTCCGTCCGTCCGTCCGTGGTGCTGTTTCAACGGCCAAACCGTAAGAGATAGATATAGAGAATGTTTAAATTATAAGTTAAGAATAGTCTGATAAGACTACAAACCGGATGTGAGTAACGTAGCACTTCCGGTTTTCGAGAAATCACGTGATTTCTATTTCAAACGAAACCACACAAAATCTCCGAAGTTCTCAATTAATTAAATACATTTTTTTTTGGTGAACATTTGGTTCACTGGTTTGCTAGTTGTTAATAATTACATAACCAACATAATCGCGAGCTGATTAATAAAGACAAGGGGTCCATTAAGTATGTTCCTACTAGCGAGTAATAGGTTTTTTCTCATTTTGTTAAGTAATTATTTAGTAATATGAAGTAAAATCGTTAAAATAAATTTTGAAAATAGTAGTAGTAGTATCATTCTGAGTTTTTCGTAAAATTTCAATGATCATAAATACATATTATGATAATTTATTTTTCACCATTTATTAAGAAGGAACTTTATCATAGTTTTATTGTAAGTACTTCGTATAGGATTAGAAACTGCAAGTAGCCAATTGTTTTCTTTTCCTTTATGTTTTGTTTACAAACACCAAAATTCATGAAAATTTCTTCTCCCACCATTCCTGCAGTCTACTCCTGCATAATACACCGCGCTATCACTTTGTCATCATTGTAACTTTTGAAATATTTGTCGAAATGACATAGTGTAGTAAGCAAAGTTTATCGTCTTTAAATATCAAAAGCGATTAAAGTATTTGTTTCGATAAAAAATAATTTGTTATACAAAATGTGCATCTTGGAAATGGATATCAAATAATATTTTATTTTTAATTCACTATTTTAGCGATAATGGCTGACACATTAAAAATTGTATATGCTGTCCTGGACTTTTTATAGAACTATTTAAGAGATACATTTACACTATACATTATATTCATGTAACTATTATGGTTTTTGTAGTGCAGGCCAAAATGGCTTGCAATTAGGATTTTTTTTCCGTCTTACATGATATACTTATAATTATATTTTGGACAATTCTCTTAATAATTACATGAATTATTATCTTTATGTTATTATTATGTATGACTTATATTATTGTTAAGTTTCATTAAAATCCATTTAGTATTTTTTGGGTGAAAGAGTAAGAAATATCAGTACAAACGTACATTGAAATTACAAGCAGAAGTGGTTATAATTCAACTTAAAATCGTGGTAAATCCTAAACAGTCATATAAAATAAAAAATGGCATAAGAAACCTAAACATGATTTTCGATTATCTAGACAATGATCCCCCCCCCCCCCTCTATTTTGAATTTCGATTATTATCATATCTTTAGTAGCACTCCCATGATTAAGACGAATAGATTGACGTATGAACCATCAATATTGGTGCATGCGTTTGGTATCTATTGTGCCACAAAAGAACATACATATATAGACTGTTAAACAAGCCTGTCTGCGCGTCGAGCTATGCGCTCTTGCATTGCGCAGTCGGGTAAAAAAAATTAAACTGTAACAGAGTATATTTTTTGTGTCATGTGGTCACTTTTTCTTTAGGTTTGGAGGTTTAAGACGGGGAGACTAAGAGATAACAATAGACAGCTTTTGTAATTTTTACCTCAAAACATTTAGTCCCGAAGTTTCCAACCTACTAGACTAGGCAGCCTATTTTGTTATCAAAAATTTTCACGTCAAGAAAATCGTTCATATAACTCTCCCTCATTCATAAATGAGGGTTAGTACCCGAGATATTGATATAAACATTGCCCGGAAGATGTTTTTATCAAAATATTCAAATACTCGACTATATTTTTATTAATTTTATACTAAAATATCATTCATCATAGAGTATGAACCCAAGTACTTACAGTCGAGTAATCTTACTTTTCCTGTCATTGATAAGATTGATATTCAAGTAGGTACGTAGATATTGGGAGACTATGTAAGAGTCAACGTAGGAGCTTGCAAAATGCGAATAACATTATATAAATCTGCCAATGTTAAATAGTGTTGCCCAAATGCAAGAACAAGACGAGACTTAGCCAGTCTTGGTCTTGGTCTTGCGCCAATACACCTGGTCTTGGTCTTGGTCTTGCGCTCCCAGTCTTGGTCTTGGTCTTGCAGCAGGAGTCTTGCAAGTCTTGCAATTACCTATTAGAGTATTGCTATTTATTAAAGTTTACTTTAGATCTTAGAAAAACGTATAAGAATTGGAACAGCTTGAATTAACACAGCCATAGTAAAGACCAATCAGATTAATAAATGTCTGAAGATTTGATAAGAAATTAGAAAAATCAACTGCCACATGACTATCAACTGAGCTATATGCCGTTTTCCACGGGAGTAACTGTTTCTTAATAAACATTTACGCTTTATAACCTTACATGTGCTAAAACATGTTAAAAACAAATTAATTACAATAACTTGAGTGTATTTTAAAGAACAATATCTGTCTAGAAAGAGATTGAACCCTCAACTTATATGAAATTTAATAAAAGAGTTTTACGATTTATCATTTATTACAATAAAAAATAAAATACAACACAAATATAATATATCAAACGGGTGATATTTGACCACTTTTTTGCTATTTTTTCTTGTAAAAACTTAAGAAATTTAAGAAATATTTTGAGTAAATGTACAATACTAGTACCTGAGTAATTAGTTTAAACCCATATAATAAACATTATAATGTATACTTACTACATCTACTACCTATCCTTACCATTACCTAATCATAATACTACTTGCGTGATCAGTATAATGTATTCGTTTCCATTCTAAGCACTCTGAAACTTATTTATTCTTTGGAACACCTGTACTCTAAAATTCGAAAATCGAAGTTCGTGTCGTACCGTCTCGCTCGCTCATATATTAAATAGTATTAGCGTGAGTGGGATGGCACGGCACGAAATTAGAATTTTGCATGAGTATACCTAGGCCCTGTGGCGGTAATCAAATAGTGTCAAATGTTGTGATTTCGGCGCGGTAGCAACGATTGTTGTATGTAATTTCAATAGAAGCCGCCGGCGCGTGTAACATCACCATGTACTTCCGAAAAGCGGCAAATTTCTTTGAGAAGTCAGTACAAAACCTTTGATGCTGCATTATCAAACTGCCGATCGTTAAAACAAAACTATGAATGCACTCTGTTTGATTTTAATGGATATTTTTTTATTCGCTATGTACGAGTATGTTTATGGTATTGGTCGTAACGCGCATAGGTCCAGTTTTTCATATTCTTTGATACATTTTTTTGCGCCTCATAGAATTCCTAAGCGTACCTATACACCGAACTGTTATACCTGACTACTCCGTGAAATAGCGCTAAGTCCTAGCTGCAAGACGCAAGAGTCTTGCCGGATTAGTCTTGTTCTTGCTTAAGTCTTGCACGGTCAGTCTTGGTCTTGGTCTTGCTAAAAATACGCGGTCTTGTTCTTGGTCTTGGAAAAAAAGAAAAATGCAAGAACAAGACCAAGACTGCAAGACCAAGACTGAATTTGGGCAACACTAATGTTAAAATCTATTACTTTTTTTATTGAGTACTTGGTTTTGACTGTGTATTCTCAGGTAGATATAATATTATAATTATAATAATCTGGAGCTCGTATTTGCATGATTCCCAAAGAAATAGTAAATGATCCTCAAATATACAACTACTGACCTAACCTAACCTTTACCAGTTGTATTTTTTGGTGATCATTTAAAATTTTTAAGAACATTTAAATATTTTCCTTTATCTGGTGGAAGGTTTTTTTTCACTGAAGGCTTCTGTATGAAGCATTTATTTTAATAGTATATTTTTTCGCTAAATAAGTAAGTAAACTTACAATCATCGCATTTCAAATGGTCATCCTATTCCAGGTGAATTAAGGAAGGTATTAAAAACTGGCCAAGTGCATGTACGACCACGAGCAATGTAGAGTTCCATAGTTGCTTATAAGAAATAAAATATTTAGAATACTGAGAAAGTAGATACTTAACTGTTTAATATTATTGTTAATAAAATTAGTTTGCCAATTATGGGTCTGGTACGTAAGGGGTTCTCTGAACTTACGACCATATTAGGCAGTGTTCTCTCCTTTTAAATAATTATAGAGCATGATAGACTGTTGTGATTGTTCTGTGATTGGGCAAATATTTGTGTGGTGTAGTAAATTCCGTATGTAGAAAATGAAAAAGAAAAACTGTTTACTGTTTAGCGCATGATGAAGCCATCTTTAATTACAGTTATATTATATCCTAATACTTAAGCATATGTGTAAGTTTGTTTGTATTAATATAGCTGTGTTGATGGTCCATAAATAAATAAATAAAATAAATAACAAAACTGGAATCGCTTATAGGTAGCACTTCCGGGTACGTCTTAACAGCATATGGGTTCGCCGCCCACTCCAACATACGTTATTCGAGCGAAAACATTATTATTCATTAATATTTGTTGAGAAGCTTCAGCATCATCATTATTAAACAAAAAAATGTAAACTGTTGAGCTATAGGCCTCCCCCAAACATCTCCACTCTGATCGGTCCTGAGCTGTCCGCATTCATTTTATTTTTGTATAGAATATAATTAATTTTAAATAATAATTATTATATTCTAGTCTAAGCACGTAGGTGTTTGTTTTTCAGAGGAGCACTTTAATAAAGCGCCGCGACCCCTCGAGTGATTGATTTAATTTTCTTTAGCACGCTTTTCAGTATCCTTACAAAATATTTATTATTCTTCAACTCGGTTCCAACTCGGATTAATGATGGTTCAAAGATTGAAATACCTAAGATTTTTTAGCTTTAGATATTTTTTCATCAGGAATATAGAGCCTCTATCAACTTTTTAAATCTTTATGAGGTATTTTTATTCAAATCAATTTTTATTACAAAATAATTTCATTTGCCAAAAAATATAGTGTTCAAACACTATATTTTTTATTGTACATGTACTTTTGATTAGATTGTCTTATCTCCGATAAGAATTCAAAATATTTATGCTGCATTCGTTATATTTATTTTTATTTTTTAAGCATTTAACTGCTAGGTGTTTAAATCTAAAGGCAATTTTACTAAAAAAAACTACGCAGACCCTTCGCTAAACGGGCGAATGCACTAACCATTATGCTACCGCATCCCTGATGGCCGTGTCAAATTTTCTCTAGCCTATCTTAGGCTGTAAGGCAGCGCCATCTTTTCGCATTGTAGGTAACCCACAATGTCTAACCCACAATACCTTTACAAGTATTCAACATTTGAAAGAAGAAATAGAAATTATAGCTATATTTTTACTTTTTAAACATTTAACTGCTAAATGTCTATATCTAAAGAGAACTTCACAAGAAAAAATTCCACGCCGACCAGGCAGCAGAAGAGATTTAAACCCACATCCTTCGCTAACTGGGTGAATGCCGTCGTTCGAGTTCCGTCTCCTGCATTGTCCTCGTGGATTTTTTCTAAAAATTTTCTTTAAATACTGCACTTTTCAGTATCTCGTGTCTGCATTACAATTAGATTTCAGGTAAACATGTTTATTTCTGTCAGTAGTGATACAATAAAACAGCATCATTTAATATCTGATGTGTTCATTTACAAGCGTGGTTACAATATCTTCATTTGGCATTACCATACATACCTAACACAGTAATAGTAATTATTACAACTATCACTATACAAAACGAGAAATGGATGTACTAATATAAAGAAAGTCATTGTGATAGATGTAAGACCTCGAAACGCAAATATCAAATGATTTATGACTATAACACCATGTTTGGACTGCTGTACAGTGTAAAGTTATATAGTTACATTCTTCATTTTGTATTTTTGCGGCGTTTCTAAAGCATATTCTATTTGACATAGTGATACAGTACTTGATAATATTGTTTTATCTGCAAATTGCTCGAAGAAAAGCTTAAAGTTTAAACTGATATATAATAACTTGTTTGAAGTGTAGCTTTATTTGCGTGTGTTTCGTTGAATACACAGACAAATGATTCTGTGATGTTATCAAAAGACATTATATTATATCTAAAGAAAATATCATGGGACGACATTATGTAAAAGAGTCATTATTGTCAATGAAGTTTGGAAATTGATATTAAATCCCGTTTACGAAGTTGTAGAGAAAGTAAAGAAATGGTCGAATATTTTCGTTAATATCATTTTAATTAAAAAGTCATAAATGCAGACAGCTCTTATGACTTTTTAATTGAAAATGATTACCAGTTTGTAGATGAAATCGTGGTAATTAACTATTCACAATTAAATATATTATATTTAATACAAATTTCATTCATTTTTCATTTCACAAAAGGTTACCAGCAAATGAGAGATTCGTATTAGAAAGCTTTTTAGGAACTAAAAAAGCCTAATCTCTCAATAATTAAAAATATCAAAATATCACTATCCTGTATTATTTACAGAGGATCATGCAAAAGGTCTGAGCACATTCACTGTGATGGCTGGATTGGGTGGATTTTTGGGATACGCACTCGGAGGAATTAATTGGGACGAAACGAGACTAGGTATGATATGAGTCACGTAACGAAAATTTGTTTGAATAATTACAAAAACTGCAATATTTCCACTGTAATTAAAGCTTTATTTGATATGTAGACGCAGATGACATAACCACATTGATGTTGATGAAGTTTGCTTTTAAAAATACTTTCCATATTCTTTTAGGAGAAATATTCGGTGGCCATGTCCGAGCGGTTTTCTCTCTCATCACCATAATCTTTGTGGCGTGTGTTAGTGCCACCGTAACCAGTTTCAAAGAGATTCCTTTGGAGGAGCTCAATTATCAAGAAGAGTTCAGGAAGCTGGCGCAGACCGAGCGTAACCAGGAGAGCTTTGACGTGGAAGATCAGAGCCTCGACAAAGGGAACCTGAAGAAGAACGCTACTTACGGATCACTGAACCAACCGGAGCTATCGGTGGTAATGAATTTTATTTAATTTATTGCAAGTACCAAAACGCGATGGGGTGATGGAGAATGGGGTAGGAGCTCGACTGCGCAGGGGTTACCGCGTTCAGTCTTCGATCGTGCAAGTTAAGCAAGCTTAGGTCAGTCATAGAAAAGATGATAAAAATTCAATAAATCGAGTTTCTCTGTGATCGGAAGGCACGTTTAACCGTCCGTCCGTTAGAACCCAATTTGCACTGAGCTTGCGTGGTGGGTCATGACCCAATCTCCCTTTTTTATCCATAGGGAAGTGGCTATATTGATAGGTTGATGGTGATGACGATGATCAAAACGCAGTGGCTATTAAATGCAGCCAATGATGACTGAATGTAGCAAAAGAGGCATGTCAGGACTGCAACATGTGGAGATCCATTAATCCATTTAATCTGTCTGCTTACAATATTCTGGGAAAAATATATAATCTTACATGTATGTGTGTAATTTTACTGTACCGTTAACACATTCTCAGGAATTAGCCGTAGAAGCAAGTTCTATTTTTAAGCTTCTCAAAATGACGTAGACCACTGATATCAACGATGAGAAGCGATAAAAGATGTTATTTACTCGCGTGTGTCTTATTATCTTGACAGTTATAATACGCGTTTGTGCGAGAATTTTGTTTTATTAATAGCGTTGACTGATTGTCGTTTTGATAGAAGAAATTTTAAAGAGCTCATTTTTAGGCTATTTTTTTATGTATTTTAGTGGAATAATGAATTTGAAATCTTACCCCTTATCTAAAAATTAATCCTCATGAAGGATGCTACAAAACAGAGGAACAAAAAAGGAGGAGATTCTGTATTCGTCGTATATGTATTCTTTTTGTATGTGAATAATAATGGCCTATTTTCAAAATAACTTCTATGTTTTAAAGATTGATATTTTTCTAAGTACCGCTTACAAATTAATTATCTATTAGTTTTGCGATACCCAGTAACAAAAGTAGTAAAAAAAAATTGCCGCTTAATCAATGGAAAAACTTTTGATTAGTTTGCTTCTTAGCTTATCATTGAAATCTTCGATTATATTTTGATCTCAGTTCTTACTTTAGCACCTCCTGTAACATTTTTATAGTAAAAATAAAGCTGGAATTTTGCTTACCTATTTCAGGACGCAGCTTCTCTCAATGCACCAGATACGACACCACAAGGACACCAGCACCTATCGCTGCGGCATTACCTGAAGTCCATCATTGTGATGCCGAGTTCACTGCGGGTAGTGTGTCTGACAAACCTCTTCTGTTGGATGGCCCACGTCTGCTATTCTTTGTACTTTACAGACTTCGTTGGTGAAGCCGTATTTGGTGGAAATCCTGCGGTGAGTCAGCTTCTAGTGTTCTTCTCTTTAAAATATGGCTGTGTGCACCATAAACCATTTCATTTATTTTGGTTCAGCTCTAAAACATTTGCGTGCAAAAATATGGTATAGCAGGGTAATTAGCAGCAGCTGTTGGTGGTGTTTTTTTAAATAAGATAAAAGAGTTAAATCTTAAAATTCTTGGTACTCTATGCCCGGTCTGTGCTTTAACTTTGGTGAAGCCTCTGCAATTAAAGACTGACCACGCTAATCTATACTTTTACACTATTACTAGCTGACCCAGCGAACTTCGTACCGCCATAAAAATCTGGGCAGGTGGTAGAAGAAAATTTAGGGTTGTATTATTTTTAAAACCACATAATAAAAAAATAAATATTGTCCAAAAAAGCTTTAAGGGTTTTTAACGGAGTAACATCAATTTCCTGGGATAACATTCCTCCTAACCCATATGAGTATGAACGTAGTGTACGTTACAATACCCAACAGTTTGAATTTTGGCGCGAAGGCGCATTGTAGGTTTCAGAACACTACGTTACAGGTGGACAACCCTTATCACTTAAGGACATGAAAAATAGATAGTAGCCGACCCATGGAATATGCATATAAAATTTCATAAAAATCGGTGAAGCCGTTTCGGAGGAGTTTGGTAACTAACATTGTGACACGAGAATTTTATATATACAGTGCGTCCCACGGGTACCGGAGGGAAAGTTTTTCTAAATATTGAAGATAGGATATTTTACCGAAAGAAGACATCATTTTATTTTTAATTATTACTAGAACTTCATTTTTTAAAAATCGCCTGCTACAACGGGGTATCAAAGTCGTGAAATTTCGAAAAAGAAAACACTACATGTTTTATGATAACCATCGAAAGAGTTAATCATAACAATTATTTTTTGCTTAATTACATAGCATTTTAAATGAAAGAAAAGTCATAAAATTACATATTTTATTAAAAATATTCAACAAAATGTTATACAAAACGAAATGTATCCAATGTTCAAAATGTGATCCGATTTGTTGTATGCAAATTCTCACTCTATTAATATTTTCTCTGCCTGTCGATTTCATTATCTTCGCGTGGTGAATGTTTGTAATAATACGTCTGAGTTATTTCGTAACTCCTGCACACTGTCTTACCGGTTCTTGTATACTACATCTGTTACATAACTCCACAAAAAAGTCCAGTGGGGTTAGATCTGGGGATCTCGCTGGCCATCTTATTTGTCCATAAGAACCGATCCAGGAAGGAAAGTGTTCATTAAGAAACTCGGCAGTTCTACTGTTATGAGTCCCATTTTGCTGGAAAATGAGATTTCGTCAATTTGCATCATGAAGATTATTGATCTCACCTCTTAAAATATTAAGTATTTCTAGATATCTTTCCGTATTTAGATTCCCTTTGTAAAAATGTATTAAGAGAACCCGGTTTTTAACTAAAATGAAAAACACAAAAAAAAGAACAGTACCCTTAGCACGAACCAATATCGAATTCGAATAGTTTTTGAGTGCGAAATGTCATTGTCAAGTGTGTACTGATTTTTAGTTCTCGTTGCGTACTTTGTGGTGCTGCTGTATAAGTTTCCATACAAAATTTTACATTGACATTTCACACTCGCAAACTATTCGAATTCGATAATGGTTCGTGCTAGGGGTACAGACGCTTAAAAATGTATGTGTTCTATTTTCGAATTATTATTTTTACAAATTTCAGCCAATCGTATTGTAACTGAGTTCAAAAAGAAATGTACATACGTACTACAGTTTGTATATCACTTTATTCTTTTTATCACGTAATAAGACATTCCTTTCATTTAAAATGGTATGTTAATTAGTAAAAAATAATCTTTATGATAAACTCTGGTTGGTTATCATAAAACATATCGTAATTTTTTTCGAAATTTCACGAGTTTGATTCCCAGTTGTAGCAGTCGATTTTAAAAAAAATCTGTGAATGCAGTTCTAGTTATTATCAAAAATGAAATGATGTCTTCTTTCAGTAAAATATCCTATCTTTAATATTTAATATACTTTCCCTCCGTGTGAGGTAGCCGTGGGACGCTCTGTATACTATTATTATATAAAGAGGTATAGTTTGTGAATTGTGATGTTGTAATCTGGGTAATGGGTAGTTTGGGTAATCTCTAGATCTAGTCAACCGATTTTGTAATTTTTTTTACCAATAGAAAGCTCCGTTATTTGTGTGTGTCATATGATACATTATATTAGAACAAAAACTACAGTCATGACATAAAAAACACAACAAGTTCATGTCTTTGAGTACCTATACTCAAAAAGAAGCGAAAATCATCAAAGTTGAGTATGATGTGATACGATCGAATTGCCAATTACCTATGTCCTGGTGAAACCGTTTTATGCGTCCAAATAATCAGGGGCGGTTTACGAAAACGGGCGCCCTAGGCCTGACGAAATTAGCGCCCCCTTTCCCCTCTCCATAAAATAGTTGAAAAAGCACAGGCTAGAATAAATGATTTTTATACACTCCCGCTCAAAAGTATGGGTTCACGTCTCGAAATTTTCAGCTTCGGTATAAGTTCCATATCTTGGTGGAAAAAGGTCGTAAGAGAATTTAATGAGCACCGTTTTGAAGGGGACAGTTTTAGCTTCACTTTGCCATTTTTTATAATTTTTTACATTTTTTTTTATAGTCCCCACGCGCTTTTGAACATGGCAGTTTTTCGATGTTTTTTTGTCCTCTGGAAACGGGCTGTCTGGCTGTTAAAAAATTTTCCTTGCAATTTTATCCATCGCAGTTTGAAAGAGGATATTGAACACTGCATTTTCGTTTTTGAAATAGTATCGTGCGATTTTTTTTACCAAAAATATTCTAATTTTTGACAAAAATTGATAATTTTATTCAATTCGGCATATCTTGAAAACGGCGGGTGATCGAAGAAAATAGTAAGAGGGTGAAAAGTTGCAATAGATCATGATGGACATGGTAGATTTATTTCAGAATTTTTTTCCGACATTTGTTTTTCCATACTCGTGGAGTCGAAATGATTTTAATTTTCCCATGATTCTTTCTTTTTTCTAAACGGCTGAGGCATTGCTTTTATTGGTTTCATCTTCATCTTGACGTAATTTGAACTAAAAATTAATTTTTTTAAATGAAAAAAACGTACAAAAAATTGTGCGAAATTTGATTTTTAGTAAAAATTACGTCAAGATGGTTACAAAACCAATAAAAGAAATGCCTGCGCCGTCTAAAAAAAAGAAAAAATCATGAGAAAAGGACAATGTTAAATTTGGCCTAAGAACCAACACCAATTTGGCATTTATGATAATTCTTAGTATATTTTTTGCGATAATTATCAGTATTTAGATTGTGACGGACACTTCTAGTTAAGAAAGCTATACTAAAAAGTTAAAGAATAATCTGAGACTACCATTTTATGTGTATAATCTATGGCAGCGCTGCAAACAAAACACTTTCTTCTTAATGCCGGCACTTCACTAGGCTATTCGTGTTTGCTTTTTGAAGACTTGGCATCAGTGGTAGTTTTCCAATTACAGAACATAATGCGACTCAGTGGCGCACAATGCCGAATTATGCTGATGCTTGATTGGAACGAATATTAGTTTTCAATTGCACCAGCAGAGTGCGCTAAGTTCAGTGTTGAAAAAAAAGTCAATGTTTGTACCTTCATCCATACTTATATTTATTTTTTAATACAGTTTGAATTAACTATGATTATTTAAAAAAAACAACAATGAAAGGAAAGCTTTCAAAAAAATTCAATGATAAATAATATTAATAACGATATTAAATAAATAAAACATTTCAATCAATGCCTACTTAAAGAAAAAACACTTGTTAATTTTCTCTCACTGAGTTGGTACGATTGCACGCATCACACGAAAACATTACTTTTGAGAGTGCTCGATTGTGCGAAGCGTTGCTGTTGTTGAAACATTCAACGATAGGCATTATGCCGCATAGTGCGCTGTAGTTCTGTAATTGGAAAACTACTGTCCTTTTTATTCCATATTAAGCATGACAAGAACAGGCTGTTGTCAAGTGAAGGGCCGGCATAAAACTCGATACTCTCTGGTTGTGGTGCAGGCAGTTTGCATTCGTAGTAATCTGTGGCATTCGTGGATTATCGTTTCGGATTTCCTGTTGTGTGTGTTTACTTGCGATTGTTTTTCCTTTTATTTAACTATTTCGTATACCAAATAATATGCCATCGATGTTACCAAATATCAGAGACTTGGTTACCAAGTGCTAGAAAACCTGTGCCACAACATCCTGAGAGGATCATACTGCCAAATTATTCAAGAGCAGCTGATACACATTCACGCATATTTACACAATATACATGTGTTAAACAAATAAACAATATGATACAATTAAGTGAAAAATAGTCAAAAAATAAGATGCAAAACTAGTTTTTATTTTATTCATGATTCCTACCTAACCAAGTTTTTCCTAATAGTTATTTTTTAAAATCGCACCGAATAAAAATGAATTAGTTGTAATATTAATTCAATTCATACTAAGTTCATAGGTTGACCTATGTTTCATTTAATATTAAACATAACCTCAAAAAATATTTAGTTTTCCTGATAATTTAAGTTCTCAGAAGTGTCCGTCAATAATATTTGTTTTTACAGTCATTTACTTGCAATTTCGAACCTAGAATATAATATTTCATGATTGTTGGTTCTTAGGCCAACAATGTATGGACGCAGAACAATGTCCTTTAAATCATTTCGACTGCAAGAGTACGAAAAAACAAATGTCGGAAAAAAATTCTGAAATAAATCTACAAGGTCCATCATGATCTATTGCAACTTTTCACCCCCTTGCTATTTTCTTCGATCACCCGCCGTTTTCAAGATACGCCGAATTGAATAAAATTATAAATTCTTGTCGAAAATTAGAATATTTTTGGTAAAAAAAATCGCACGATACTTTTTCAAAAACAAAAATGCAGTGTTTAATATCCTCTTTGAAACTGCGATGAATGAAATTGCAAGGAAATTTTTTTAACAGCCAGACAGCCCGTTTCCAGAGGGCAAAAAAACATCGAAAAACTGCCATGTTCAAAAGCGCGTGGGGACGATAAAAAAAATTGTAAAAAATTATAAAAAATGGCAAAGTGAAGTTAAAACTGTCCCCTTCAAAACGGTGCTCATTAAATTCTCTTACGACCTTTTTCCACCAAGATATGGAACTTATACCGAAGCTGAAAATTTCGAGAAGTGAACCCATACTTTTGAGCGGGAGTGTATTTCAAAAATAATTTAACGGAAACAGAATTTCAATCATACATATATTATGTAGGTTTGTGGGTAGGAATGGAGCACATATATATTTTATATTGGCGATATTGACGTTTGAGTGGACCCGATTAAAACGTTCGCTTTCTCGCTTTTAATCTTTCAAATTTATCGGCCCGTGGAGCCCCCTTCTGCCACGGCGCCCTAGGCTCGGGCCTAGCGGGCCTAGTGCATAAACCGCCCCTGCAAATAATTTAGAACAACTTAGATATTAATTCTAAAGTTATGTCTGTAAATATTGAATCAGCTTATAACACATTTCTACAAATTAGCGAGCGCAATTTTTGCAGGCGCCTGTGGGCACAGAAAGCCGCTCCGAGTACGAGGCGGGCGTGCGCTTCGGCTGCTGGGGCATGGCGATGTACTCCTTGTCGTGTGCGTGCTACTCCACGATCATTGAGAAACTCATCAAGAGGTTTGGGTGTGTTCATCAAAAAATGTTTATTAATAATACGTACCTACGTATATCTCCGGGTTGCTAGAAGCATTTCAAATCATCGGGCAAAATTTGAGCCGATAGATGACCCTGCAAAGAGTGATTGCTACTCTTTATCGGTTTTAGGAATGCGCCTAAAAGAGTTTTAGGTTTTAGAATATAGTTTCACATAAGTAAAATGTAAGACCGGACGGTATGAGTTTGTTTCCATGGAAGATGGATCAGGTGCTAGTATGGGATGCAACCAGTTCAGACACGCTGGCCCCTTCCCATCTACATGGAACCAACAACAGAGCTGGTGCGGCTTGTGAAGCGGCTGAAAAAGCTAAGGCATGCAAATACAGGGGTCTAGGCTCCGAATATGATTTTGTCCCATTCGGTGTCGAGACCCTTGGTCCTAGCGCTATAAGGCATTTTAAAGAAATAGCAAAAAGATTAGTCGACATCACAGGACACCGAAGAGCTGGCAGCTACCTCGGACAACGAATTAGTCTAGCTATCCAAAGGGGGAACGCTGCCGGTATCTTCGGAACCTTGCCTAAAGGGACTCCTTTTAATAAAATGTGTTTTAGATATGATTTTTTTTTAAGCATTTAACTGCTAGATGTTTAAATCTAAAGAAAACTTTACTAGAAAAAAATCCACGCGGACCAGGCAGCGGACGGGACTCGAACCCGCATCCTTCGCTATCCGGGCGAATGCACTGACCATTATGCTACCACGGCCCTTTTTTTTTTCTAGTAAACTTTTCTTTATATGTATTTTAGTTATTATATTTTATTTTTTAAGGTTTTTAATTTTAGGTTCATTGTTATAGTATATTTTTTGTTTTTTTTTTTGTTTTAAGCTAGTAGAGTAGTAATAGATAATAGTATATTTGTTAATTATAGTAAAACTTTCTATGAAATAAAGTGGATGTAGTAAAATGTTATGTGCTAGGTTAATGTTACGCAGAAAACAAGAGAAAACTTTTTTCTTAGAAGTCGTAGCTGTTCTTCCGTATTAAATAGCAATGTGTTGTGGTTCAGCCAGCATGTAACCAAAGTAAAAGTTTTCGTAACTATCTTGTCCCGTGATAGCTCAAAAACAGGAACTGGTTTTTATTCTTTTTACACATTTTATTACCTTTAACATAACATTTTCCGGAAAAGCTACTAAAAATGCTTTGATACAATGTAGGTTACATAGTGTAAATGCATTTAAGTTCTGAAAACTTTGATTTTTTCCTTGATCAAATAAAATAGTGAAAATAAACAAATAACTGATAATCGTAGACAAATATTAAATTGGGATGACAGTTAAAGACAACAAAGCCTATATATGACAGATTTTTGATAAAAAATATGATTTATCTATTGGAATAGGTCTAATAGATAAATTGACTTTCGCGCTAGGATTGTGTACTGCGATCAATCAAAAATATTATCTCGGCTCGTATTTTTAGTTAGGTACTTTGGTTTGACGTATGCAGGTATCTCACTAGGCAAATCCTTGCAAACGACGCTTTACATATGGGAATTTGGCCTAAACAGAAATGGAGTCAAACTTATTCTAAACAATTTATCAGAAGTTCAGATTCGATATAGATAGCTCCAAAAATTTTACTTCATCATAAACCATTAGAATATTATGTTTAATTCATATTGCATAATTTCCACTTAATTTTTTTTTCATAAAATCTTAAGTTATTGAGCTGCAAAAGAATGTTTAAAAAGCATAATGGTAGAATTGAGAACCTCCTCCTTTTGAAGGCGGTTAAATACAGATTATATAACAAACGCTGGCTTTAGAATTATGATGAAAGTGCAACCCAGTAAGTATGTATTTGCAATCAAAATAAATTACAGCACGAACCAATATCGAATTCTAATAGTTTGTGAGTCCGAAATTTCATTAAAATAAATATATACTCGTAAATAAATGTTTTCAACATCCACACCAATTAGCCTACCCCAAAGCACTGTTAGGCTTGTGTTATGGGATACTAGGGTAACGGATTGAATACATATACTGATACATATGTAAGTATATTTATATAGAAATACATATTGAACATCCATGACTGGAGTACAAGTGCTCGTATTCGTCACACAATCATCTGCCCCCACCGGGATACGAACACTCTCCCCTTCCTTTCGGGATCTCTCGAGTCGGCGACACCTTGAAACCCGGCGTACAAACCTAGGCCACGGAGGTCGTTCATTGTCTAATTTGTACTAATTTTTAGTTCTCATTACTTCCGTTATGGCGCTGCTGTTCAAGTTTCCATACAAAATTTGACATTGCCATTTCGCACTCGCTAACTAACCGAATTCGATATTGGTTCGTGCTAGGGGTACAGTTACATCAAAAATGGGTCATTTAGTAGACTGTACTATAATAAGTGCAATAATTCCTACTTACCTATATACGCGTAAATATGTCAGTTGGATTGGCCACTTCACACTGTAGGTAAACTTCACCCTTCAACTTGGTGAGGCCTGGCAAACACTTCCTGGTCGTAATGAGATCAGGCGGCCCTTGACTTTCAGCCGCGTTGCCCGGCTGTACTTCACAGGCTTCTAACAGATTTAAAATCAATACTGTATGGGTTTATCGTATGCGATTGTACGAGATTGTTTCAAATTAAGCAATCAACTTGTTTTGATACCAACTCTTGAAGGGCCGTTTATGTATGCAAATTAATTTATGTAAGCTATAAAAGAAGTAGAAAACTTTTTAATGATGTTTTTTTTGTAACTGAATCTGCATGAGTTGTACTTTTAGACATAAAATAATCAGCCTTGTAACTTTGATAAAAGTTGTAGAAATGTTGGTCATCAAGTTGCGGTGTTTGTTCATAAAAATGAGGATTTTTTTTAAAAAAACGTTCATAACTTCAGATTAAGAGATCCTCACCGGTTAAAATTTAATGATACTCCAAGATCTGATAAGAATGCAAAAAGTTGTCTTTGCATGTGTGTCAGTATTTATAATAATATTTCCTAGAGATATAAAAATGCTTATTATAGATATGTTTAAACACAAACTTTATAAGTGGCTAAATGAGCATAATTTTTTGATATAAGTTCATTCTTAAACGAAAAACTATGACCTTTTTCAATTCATTGTATCTGAATCTATTTTATTCAATTTCTAATGTTTCGAATCTATAATATAAGACTGTTTGACATATTTTGAAATGAATATTGTATTGTATCCTATTGACATGCTATTTATCTTAAATTAAATTTTAATTAAATTTGTATTTGCATGCTAGACTTATATGGCAAAACATGTGCGCATTGTTAATTTTGTACCAACTCATATTACCGTATTTTAAAGCAAACAAATTATTTATTACTTTTTTGTACTTTAGTTAGACCAAGATTTTCACTACATTTATCAAAGTTACGAAACTGATTATTTTATGCATAAAAGTACTCAACATAAGTTATATTGAAAATGATTCATTTTTATAGTTCTTTTTAAGCTCGTTATTGCACTCTTATGTAAAAAGTGAATCACAAGTTAGACACAAGAAACAAAAAAAGAATAGTATATCTAAAGCGTCTAAATAAGTCTTGAGTGGGTGGAAAGAAAAAAAAATTGGACGACTCGAAAGAGCTTTCCTGAAAGACAATTTGAATAAAGGATATCTTTATTTCATTTCTTTATTAACAAGAAGACTTAAAATTCTTAAGTAGTTTTTTTATACGAAAACAAATTCCCCACTCAACCTGATGCTAATTGTAAGCGGAGTTAAGTCATGAAGATAGATGATGCGGCCGAAAGTGTTCCGCTCCAACCATCCTCACCTTCCACCACCTCCTCGTTCCCAGACCTAGAACCATACTCACCATCAGAAACACAAAACCATCAAAAGGTAGTATTATTTTACTGTGGTCTTCTGTAAGGTAGAAGTTGCTTCCATTAGACTTTCCCCTAGGCAGGTATTCAAAGTTCCATAGTAAATTGCAGAATTTTGTATTATATTTGAATCAAATAAACATTTGTCAATTGTAATTTATCTATCCTTTTTTTCATATCATTTTCAGAGCAAAAAGGGTGTACGTTGGTGGTCTGTGCACGTACAGCTGCGGCATGTTCATGCTATGTGCGATCCGAGCCCGCGCAGCCGTGCTGCTGTTCAGCTGGACAGCCGGCGTCATGTACTCCACGCTGTTCACCATGCCCTACTTACTGGTTGCGCACTACCACGCTACAGGAATGGTAATTGTTTCTTATACAGTTGCTATCAGACTGGCAGGGTAGGGAGCAGCTCTATAAGGCATTCAGCTTGTGATCGTGGATGTCAAGCTACTTTCGTAATGATCCGTTATTGGATGGGTGACCAGACAATTATGATCTCGAGCTTCTCAGTGCTCTGGATGGCGAACTAATCCGTTGATCCCGCCTGCATCTGCAGTTGTTAGCACCCACCTACACCTTACTTGCCCCGAGTGGTGAGACCTAGCCAAATCTTCCTATCCCATCCATAGGGAATCCATAAGGAATAAGAGGCTTTTACAACTGAATTGCTGTCTTCTTCATCAGCCCATTAATGCCGCCACTACTATGGCACAGGCCGTCTAATATTGACAGAATTTCATAGACAGGGCGCCATTGCCCACCAATATTGTGATATAACAGTACCTTTGGGCGGTTTTGTGTATCTGTTACTCTATAAATCCAAATTTCTTCAAGGATTCAGTGGTTAATTATAATGGAATAAAGAAACGCTCATGCCACGAACATGAACTATGTGAAAATAAGCAAGTCTCTTTTCCTTATTCCAGTGGGATAGCGCCGGTGGAGGGTGCGGTCAAGAGCGTGGCATCGGCACCGACGTCGCAGTGGTCAGCAGCTGCGTGTTTGTGGCCCAACTTTTAGTCTCCATCATCATGGGATTGGCCGTGAAGGCTATGGGAACAACTGCAGCAGTTGTAGCTGTGGCTGCAGCGCTAGCCGGCGCCGCCGCGTTCACCGCTACTAAAATCACTTATTTAGATCTATAAATATAACTATATAGCAAACTACATAGTCTATGTATAAATAGGGAGCTGGCTTTCAAGGCTATGGGCAGGACTGCGGCAGTCGTAGCTGTAGCTGCTGCGTTATCTGGCGCCGCGGCGTTTACCGCTACATAAATATCTTAGTTAGAGCTGTAAATGTAAATTTCATAAAAGTATATGAACTAATATGATGACTCACCGCCGGTGGAGGTATAGTCAAGAGCTTGGCATTGACACCAACGTCGGTCACGGTGGTCAGCAGCGTGTTCGTGGCCCAACTGTTACTGTCTCCGTCATCATGGGGCTGGCCTTGAAAGCTATGGGAACAACTGCGGCAATCGTAGCTGTGGCTGCGGTACTAGCTGGCGCCGCGGCGTTTACTGCTACCAAAATCACTTATGTAGACCTATAAATATAAAAATAACTATAAAGCAAATTATATAGTCCATGTTTAACTAGCGAGCTGGAAAATATTATGATAGTCTGTGCTATTTGAAATTGAGAGACTGGCTTTGAATGCTATGGTCACAACTGCGACATTCGTAGCTGTGGCTGCGGCGCTGGCTGATGCCGCTGCATTCACCACCACAAAAATTACTCATTTTAGACCTACAAATATAACTTAAACTATATAGTCTAATCGGTTTGAAATTGCGGGGCTTGCTTTGAAGGCTATGGGCACAGTGTAGTAGTAATCGTTGCAATATTTGGGCCACCACTGCTAACATCACTTAATTAGACCTAAAAATTGATATTATATACTGTGGTATTTTCTGTAAATGCTATACTGACTTTGTGTCGTTTACTACCCATCACAATCCGGTAGCAATAAATTAATTTTTAAACATGCATATGTACAAAAATTATCATTTTATTTCATTTTTGTAAGTACAATAATGGGTGTATTTATTTAAATTACCTTTTCATTCTGTCCTTTCATAAGATATTTGTAAAAGATCTACTGAATAAAACCACAAATGAAGCTGTAAAATGTAAATACTTAAGTCGCATAGCAATTTTTATATCCATACGGTATCTTTTTTATTTTCTGGTAAAGCCAACTCGGTAACTTTAATATAGCTATCGTAAAAGGAAGTTCTTACCAAGAAACATATGTAAATATTGGATTGTTGTCTCATTTACAAACCAGCCTATGACAGAGTCTGATGTAAAAGTAATAAATATATCATATTTTTATGTATAAGATTGTCTTAGTCCGATTGTAATAATTTGTAGAAAAAACCATAATTACTCTCATGCTTCAAAACCTCTTTTAAAGATTCTGAAACAGTTAGCTTATTGCCAAAATTAAAACATCCAATGTAATAAATAAAAAAATAACACCCGTTTGGGTTTTATAATGTTTTTTTTAAATAAATTTTATAATAACACTCCTTGGTTTTTTAAATCCCAAGGCGCAGCCAAGTGTGATAATAGTATCACACTTGTGTTATATTATTATGAACAGTTGCATACAAAATTTTACCTACACCAATGATAAGAATCCTCTATAATGGATTCTGAAACAATTGGGCGTTCTAAGAACTTAAAATTCATCAAAAGTTTAGGCGCTGTCTTCGGCGCTTTGGTAGTGAAACGCGCTTGAACGACAATGTTCTCTTTTTGTAATTCATTATACTACGCATTGAGCAGTGAAAATTGTGGCTGTCTGATGAGTAAGAAAATTTTACTATAAACAATTCCACGCGGACCAGACAGCAGACAAACTCGAACCGTTAGATTAAACTTCTGGCAGTTACATGCTTAAAAAAAAGTGAAAAATATTACTATAATTGCTATTTCTTCTTTCAAATATTTAATACTTGTAATGGTGTTCATTCAGATGGCGCTGCCTTGCAACTTTAGAAAGCCTACAGAAAATGCGACACGGCTGTCAGGGCCGCGGTAGCATAATGGTCAGTACATTCGCCTGGATAGCGAAGGGTGCGGGTTCGAGTCCCGTCTGCTGCCTGGTCCGCTTAGAATTTTTTCTAGTAAATTTTTCTTTAGATTTATAATCTAATTAGCAAATTCTATGTACCTAAAAGTAAGATATATATAATATAGCCATTATTCCCTATGCATAAAAGGTATACTAAAACTTTCCGGTACTGGACAGTCACATTGATAAATATTTCAAAAATAAATTATGATAATTGAAAACTTTACACTTTGGTTTTAAAATACAGTTACATCAATTTGCACTCATGAACTAACAGTTTTGTGTCATTTTAAAAATTGCGTAAAACATTTACAAACCGTATTTGACTTAATATTAATTTTCATTCCGAATATTTTTAGTACGCCTAACGTATCAAATTATACATTAAGACTATATAATGTTATAATTACTTAATGATTAATGAATTATAACATTATCCAAACACTTATGCTGGAGGAAGTCATTGTTGCTAGTAATAAATAAGTAACTATAAAAAATATACCTCTGCCGAAAACACGAAAACATATTTTAATGTATCTTGAATGTTATATGTGATAATATACATATTATTGTTACTCTATAAAATATATATATTCTAGATGACAATTTAATAATCCTTTAATTTCTACCTTTAACAATTTACAATGAATTGATAATGAATGAATACAAAATGATCTTTCATGTTTCCATTTGATGAGCTTTGATTATTATCATACCTACATATATTTGATTTATCATTTCTAATGGTATGGTTCCATTGAACATTTCTTTATCTGAATTCACGTTTATAATGTAATACTTATTTTGTGTTTTAATGTAACGGGATGATTATAGGAGATTATTTATTTTGAACAAGGACCCAATTAGGTACGTCTGTGCAAAACAATGAGTCAGATTTTTTTTTTGTTTTATTACAGTATATTATTTATTCGATTTACTAACTGTCACCACATACCTTAAAATATTTTAATTATTAAGGCCAACAGGGAAACTTTTATTGATACTATTTTTATTCGAGTCTGGCGAAATCCACAAAAGTGCACCGCCATTTTCTAAAAAGAAGGAGAAGAAGAAGACTATTTTTATTAGAATTTTCCTATGCAACATAAACAGATTGTAAGCCCATCAGAAATAAATATAAACTTGATTCAAATTGGATGAATAGTACAACTCTTTTGAATCGTCCAAAAATATTTTCCCCTACCATTCGTTATTGAACACATTTTTGAGCTGCGGTGAACAACGACCGAAAACAACTCCACAACAGTAAAAGGATAATGTAACAACATTTACAAATCATTATGTTGTTACAACGTATACAATCATGATTTATTACATACAAAAAATCTGTTGGAATGATTGGAACAGTTCAAGCCTAAGCATTTTTGTCTGTAATATACTCAGACACTTTGTAATAAGCTTTTTTAATATGTGCTTTTTTACAGTATCTTTAAATTGATTTATGGTTAACTCTTGGATATTGTTTAGGACTTTATTATATAAGCGAACACAAAATTATTGATTTTGTAAAGCCTAGTAGCAGGTAAACTTGAAAGACATTACACTATGGAAATTACTAAAGTCTAATCTGGCGGTATCTACATCCGTTAACTGGCGTATCTCCATATGCTGCAGAGCTAAGTGTATTTGACAATTTATCAATATGTGGGCCCCATTGAAGCTTAAAATCCAAAGTAATTCCTAATAACACTGTGTGGTGATATGTGGGCCTGTTGGAAAAAAAATCGTAGGCAAAACATTTTATTTCGTACAAGGAAACAATGGAAACGCTCAATTAATTATTAACGTATGCATCTTTAATAGGAACGGAAGGCTACCTAGACCTAATGAATTTGAACACTGCCTCATATCTGCGTTGGACAGTATAAATAAACAATGGCGTTCATAACAAATATTTGGAAAAGATTGTCTCACAACATTTCCATAGAAGAAGCAAACGGCTTTGAATCATTATTTTTTTCAAAAGCGTATAGGTTTTCTTACGTACTAGGTAATAGTTTTAATTTATTATTAAAAAAAAAAAAAGTAATTTCACTGCCACTATAAAGACAAACAATAAAGCTTTCCTATATATTTACAAGAAACGTAAATTTTTCATATAATTTTTGGGCGGCTAGTGTTAACTGTTTTACAATTGTACGAAACTCTTCAATTCCACTTGTCTGTTTTTTCCCAGATAGGCTAAAATATGCTGAACAAAAAGGTTCCGAATATTATCTTCGAAATTCGGGCTTAATTTTTGATGTTTCGATTCTGACAGGTCTTTCTTGGTGGGACAAAAATATAGGTTATTTTTTATATAGAAATACAGTCCATATAATGGTACTAATGATGATTTTTGCTGAAATGTGGTACACTGTGGCGGATGCTACCAGTATGGATGTGATTATTGACAGTATAAACACCTATCTTATCCAAACTATCACAATGTTCCGATTCTGGAATATGGTAAGTAGTTGTTTTAATAATGTTCCAAGAACTCATAGTAACAATTATTGAAATCATGCAGTGAAATAGCATCAGGCTCTTCGTCCTATGTAAGTGACACAGGAGGTGATTAAGGAAGCACATTCAATAGGAGAAGGGCAGAAGCGATTTTTCTTCCCATACCTCGCCTGCTTAGCGTGGTGAACATGGTGAATCCCCTAAATAATGAGTAAATACAAATAAGAATCTGTCCCTAGTCCCCGGTAGCTCTGCTAGTCTTAACTAAAGTAGCAGCTGCATTTGTTAAGATCTGGTGACTGGCTCGGAAAACCACTGGATGCAGATAGCACAGATAATAGACCAGTGTGGTGTGGAGTTCCTCTTAGGAATCTGATGTTCAACAGTGGGTTGCCCAATACAAGTATAAACATAGTCTAGCAAAACTGTACATAAAGTTCCCATAGTCAACGAATTATCATTCATGGTTAATCATCTGTCGGGCATAATCCACAAATATACATATATTATATATATATATATTATATTATATATATTATTATATATATATATATATATATATATATATATATTATTATTATTATATATATATTTTTATATATATTATTAGTAGTTCTAATACTAGCAATGTACTTTACAAGCTGCATGGGAGAGTCATAACTTCCCCATGCAGATTGTATTGTGCTAGGACATCTTTTCTTCTACCTCATGTAAAATCAAGAAATTCAATCTGAAGCTAAATGTGTGTTGCGCCTCTATTTAATTTTACTATCGCGTTTGCGTTTACGTCGAAATTTGTATGAAGAAATTAACTTCATTTACGTCCCACTAGATGGCGTTGTAAATTATTCCATACTAATTTCGACGTTAACGCAAACTAGACAGTAAAGTGAATTCGAGGTGCAACTCCAACGGCTTCTGGTCCTGTAAGTATAGTTTTCTTTCCACTTACAGGCATACCATAAATCAGTTTACAAAAAACTAGCCAAAGCAACCATCGAATCACCTTATTTCGATATTTCGACTAAAAGCAGAAGCGCGCTACTTAGATATTGGGTAAAGAAGAATGAATCATATTTGAAATTGCTATTACTCATAGGTAACTTGACTTTGGCATGCTGGTAAGTAAAGAACACATTTAATTATCATTTGTACATTGTATAATTTCATAATAATATGAATGGTTTTTTTTCTTTCACTTTTTCTTCGAATATTATCATAATTTGTGATAAAATTGTTGTTCTTCCTATGTCAACTTGTGTTAAAGTTATGGGAATAGAAGTTTAGTATGTATTTCTATATAAATATACGTATATATATATTCTATTCGTTATTTTTGTATCCCATAACACAAGTCTTCAGTGCTTACCTTTATGGCTAGGCTAATTGGTGTGAATGTTGGAAATATTTTATTGTGTATATGTTAATTGTTTGCAGGTTCCTCTACCCTCTTCTCGACGATCTTGAATATAATTTGTTCATAACCATACACACCCCTTTCTTTTACAAGAGTCGCTTTCGATACGTTTTAACATATATTGTGTTCTGGATAACTTTCTATTATATTTCAAATTTTATTATGGCGAATGACATAATGATGCAAGCTCATCTTTTACACTTAGCTTGTCAACTCGAAGTACTCAGTGATTGCATTAAGAATACTGTAAAGGAATGTCAAGTCCAGTTTCAAGGTACTATATTAATGAGGTATTAATTTAATATGTTTTTGCTTATGTCATTAAACTGCTTATATTAATTGAACATATATGATTGCAGGTGAACCAATAGAGAAATTGATCCAAAACAACCAATTTGTAGACGTGTATTTAAAGAGATTGGGTGATATAGTTAATCAGCATCGTTTTATTCTAAGGTTATATTTATTAATAAGTCAGTTATCATGTCGTTATCAGATAGTGATTATTTTTAATGTCATTATTAAAATATGATAAAGAAGATATTAAGTACCTCTTAATACTACGCAAACTAGAGTTAAACAAGATGAAAATTAGTAATTATAACAATATGCTAACTAATAACGATTTTTTCTCTATAGAAACATTGGGGAATTAAGTGTCACTCTTAGCACCCCAATGTTGGGGCAGCTGATGTGCAGTGGTATCCTTATAGCATTTATTGGCTACCAAGCTACTACCGTAAGATTTTTTTTACCTCTTTTAAACCAGAAGTTGTGCTTTATTTGTTGCTATGTGAAATAAAAAAAAACAGTATTCAATTATTCTTCAATAAATATTACAAGTAGTTTAGAGGAAACAGGCCATGATCCACCACGCGGGCCCAGTGTAGATAAGTAGATGCTAACGCCTGCAGATGAAGCCAGGACTGTGACTTAAGGTGCTTTTAAAGCATAAAGTTTGCCTTGTATGTAGACTTCTAAGATAAAAAATGACAATTAATTAGGCCCAAGACTTTATATAAATTTATTTTATATTAGGTATGTATAACAATTAAATATGTATATATTTTCCTGTTCACAGACTTTTACTGAGAACTTAACTCTAGGCGTAAAGAGTTGTCTATACCTCAGTTACAATTTAGCTGAATTTTATGTAATTTGTCGTTGGTGTGAAGAGATCACAAATCAGGTAATTATTGAATATTGATTTTTGTTATTAAGACCCGTTACGAACTAGCGATTGGGCGCCGAGGCGGTTCGTTTGAGCGGTCCAGCCGATCAGGGCTTGAAAACGTTACCAATTCACATTAAAAATAACGTTAAGTAACGGTATTTCCATAGAGATACTTCCATATCGGTATGATTTGGTAGCGTTACTTAGTAGCATATCATTATAAGAACGTTAAAAATTGCGTTAAAAATTAACGGTATTTTTAATGTTATTATGAAAATAGTGGTAACAAGTAAACGGTATATTTTGGTTATTTTATGCGACGTTGCCGTTTTCTCCAAGGCCGCGCGGGCGCGGTACGGCGACGGGTAGCGGCGGCGGCGCGCGCCCCTCTGACGCGCTGTTGCCATTTCGTTTGTCGTCTTCTCAACTCTCACGCGCTTACAGAACACGCTCGCGAATTATAACTTCAATTTAGATTAGCTACTATAGTTGATTTAGTTTTTGTGTTTTGAGTAACGATTACAAAAAGTTCAACATGGGGCGTAAGAAAAGAAATGTCGTCTATAGATATTTTGAAATAAATGATGACAACACCTCAACTTGTTTAGTGCCAGAGTGTAGAAAAAAATTAAAGGTAAGTTTTAAAATACTTAATTATTATCTGTACTTATGTAACTCAATGCTGATTTTCTATATGGTCGACTGCATGGCGATTATAACATGAACTACCTATATCTAGGCCTCTTATTTTTATAAAACTCCTCTCGCTAAACCAGTTCAAGGTCAAAATGTTATTACCATGCGGTCGACTGTAACAACTAGGTATAAAGATGATACCTACAAGATTTCGTTTGAAGAATGAGATATTTTTATATTTCAATCTTCATTTTCAAACTTATTGTAAGTAATAAAATAATGTTATTTCACAGTCAACCACTTCAATTGGTCCCACTGTCGCCGTCGGTCGGCTACCTACCTACTATAAATCTTAGGGCCAAAACACATTACACACATTACGATGTCATAAAAACTCCGACGTCCAGGCACGTCCAGGGTCGAACGCCGCTACACTGTGGTTAAAAAACCCGAATTAAGCAAATTATAAGATGCAAATAATAATTTCTAGCTAAGTCAGCCTTTCCGATCAGTATGTGCCTAATAGACATAAGTCAGTCCCGCGACCTCGTACCTACCACTCATACACAAATACCTACATGTGTTTTGTTTTGGCCCTTAGAGTTGGTTTGCGTGCGTCTCGCTCAGTCGGTATCTACACAGTGTGTAAGTAACGTGTTTATGCGTTTCAACTAAGTACCTATAAGATGACCTTGGCGCAATATAGTGATAACAATTACGTTTAACAAAAAATACCTACTTTGTGCAAATTAATTTTCAATAATGTTTATTATCGTTATTATCTTGTTAGTGTTATTTTAATATGATTATATTGTTTATATAAGAAAGAAAATAAAAGGAAGATTATAAGAAAACGTGCATGAAGTTACAATACGTCGCCAATGTCATCCTGTTCTTAGTTGAAGCATAGTATATTTCACCAGCTTGGCAAATTGGCACTAACTTCATACCTACCTACTTGCCTGTGTTTTACGTGTGTACATGCGAATACGCTACTATTTTCTGTTTGCTCAACGTAACGTAATTTTAATTTGTGCTTGGAGTTTGCATTTGGGCTGCGTAGCATTATGCTAGTGCTAGTGCAGGTGAACAGCCTGTTGTTCTTTGGTTGTGGTACCTACTATCCTATATTTAATTCGTGTTTAGATAATTCGAACCATTCGTTGTGGGATATTCAAATAAAAAGTACCTAACATTTTGCTGTTTTCGGTCAGTTATTATGAAATGAATGATTGTTGTTTATGGCACAATTTTGTACCGAATGACCCCCCCCCCCCCCCTTATCTTCGAAACTACTGAGTCTAAAATTCCAAAAAAATATACAAATAATAGTTATTTTGTTTTTGTGTAGATTACAGGATAACCTATTAGAAATACTTAAACAAGGTCTCTTTGACATCGATGCACAAACGAATTCCAATGATGAAACAAAAATGAGATTGGCTGGTTTTTATTTGAATTTCCCGTTACTTCTGGTGCTGGTGCTGTTTCAAACTGTATCTCTAAAAAAACCCGAGACCCCAAAAATGCTGTTTTCTCTGTGTTCTTAATTCTGTATTATTGCCGGTTTGCTTTGCATGTTTTTTTTTCTATTGCAGACGCAGCATGGCGCAAATTTGCTAAAACATTTAAAGCATGTGCATAAAGATATACATAAAGAAATCGTAGAAATTAATAATAGTCGTCAAGATCCCGATATGGCCACTAAGTCAACTACTGTATCTGACACTGTGCTTAAGGAATGCACCAATTTGGTAGCCATTCATGGTCGTCCTTTTTCAATGGTTAACGATAAAGCTTTCCAAAATTTGCTATCTATGGTACCCGGAAATACCAGCACTATTAACGCTATTAATATTAAAGAAAATGTGCGCTTACTGGCTACAAAAATGAGAGATGAAGTAGCATTTACGTTACAAGATAAAATTATATCGCTGAAAATAGACATCGCTTCGCTTGCAACGAGAAGTTTTATGGGGATTAATTGTCAATATTTAATGGAGGGGCAGCTTGTATTAAGAAATTTAGGAGTGATCGAAATCTTTCAGCGCCATACTTCAGAGCACCTCAAAGATCTACTGGTGTACAACCTTCAGCGGTTCCGTATTGACACGGAAATTAATAAAAAAATTTATTGCATCACAACTGACAATGGCGCTAACATGATTAAAATGACCAAGCTCCTTAACGATATGGACAATTGTGTTACCCTTGACAGGAACACTATAGAGGCCGGCCCCAGCTCCAGCCAATGTGATGATGAAAACGCAGATATATGTAATGTTTCTGATTCAGACTTTGAAAATTCTGATTTTTATTTTGACGTTGAAGAAGCATATACTGCACAATTAACAAATATACTCAGAGCGCAGTTTACTCATATTACTGGCGAAAATGTTGAGTATAAAATTGGCATAGTAAGATGTGCCGCACATACTCTTCAGTTAGCGCTACATGATGCTTGTGATGATGTAGCCTTTTCTAATCTGATTTCGAGTTGTAGAGAAGTTGTACGACGCTTGCGGACACCACAGTTTGTGAGAATTATTAGAGAACATAACAAAAATGTACCTAAATTAGACTGCTCTACCCGATGGCATTCTGTAACTGACATGGTAGAAAGTTTGCTGTCGCTGAGAGATATATGTGCAACTGATGTCCGGCTTCATTTACCTGACTCAACATGGGATACTTTGACAGAAATCCTGAAATCTTTGACACCTGCAAAACAATTGACAAAAAAACTACAGGAGGAACAACTGACAGTAGGAGATTTTTATCTGGCATGGATGATGTGCCAATTCCAGTTATCCAAAATAAAGACCAGACTGTCCGAAAACATAATTGAATCGATGAAAGAAAGGCAAAAACTTCTATTTGAAAATGATGTTTTTATTAATGGAATGTTTTTAGACCCAAGAGTAAATTCAGTGTTGACATCTGTACAACAGAAAAAAGCAAAAGAAAACTTAATCCTACAATACTTAACAAATTTTGAATTGGAACTGATAAACAAAGAAAATAACATTAGTAATAGTAACATCAATAGTACAACAACAAATGACCATTCTGAAGCGCAGATTGAACTAGACGATTTCTTAAATGCAAGTTATATAAATAGACACGATGATTTAATGGATTTGTTAGACTTGGATAGAAATGACCGTAACGTGCTGAACAGTTTACAGGAATCTTTTGATGCCTTTTTAAAAGAGCCACTTCTTCAGTCTACAGAAAGTGTCTTGACGTACTGGGAAAGGTCACGTTATAAATTTCCTCTTTTGTACAAATTATCTACCATCGTATTAGCTGCACCAATGACACAAGTTAGTGTAGAGAGGTTATTTTCTTCACTTAAGTTTGTAGTATCTAATTACAGATACTCCATGAAAGACGACGTCATTGAAGATTTACTATTCATACGTAGTAATAATATTTTTAATAAGTAGCTTTCAATAGAATGCTCAAAGTTATTATTCAGAATATTTTTTTTGTAAATGAGACTGGCGAGTACCTCCAAACCGTCCTTATAGGTGGTGCATTTATTGTATTTTTATATCCGTAATGATTAGGTATATAAAGAAAAAAAAACATTTTTTTATCAAACCTTGAAGGTTTTATTTTTAATTAAGTAATCATAATTAAACATTATAAATTAATGTATCGCTTTGAAGTCCGAAATATATAGTTTTTGTACTTAAAATTGTCTTTGATTTATTTATTATATGTATTCCTATACCTTTTCCGTAAATTTAATAATCACTAGTAAATACTTTTATAGTTCACACTTATTATTATTATTATAGAAAAATATTTTATAAAAAAATAAATTATTTTAATTGATACGAATGTAACATATCAATCTACATATGTCTAACTGCCTATGTTATACGTGTCTACATATTTGTACATATTTGTAGACACGTTTAACATAGGCAGTTAGACATATCTAGATTGATATGTTACATTCGTATCAATTAAAATAATTTATTTTTTAATAAAATATTTTTCTATAATAATAATAATAAGTGTGAACTATAAAAGTAAGACATATAATAATATGTCCCAAAAGTATAGTACAGCTGGTGCCCTGAGACAGATAATCCTAGAGTCAACATTCCGTCGGTTTAGGTAGTTAACTAAATGTAAACAATCCTGGCATATCTTTTAATCTAAAGGTTGGCTAAAAATTTTATCTAAAAATGTTTACAATTAGGTATTTACCTAAATCAAAGTTAGGTAATAAACTAAATTTAAATAATCTATGTATGTCTTTTATACGACTTTCTTGAAATAAAAAGAAATACCAAGATTGTTTACGTTTAGTTAACTACCTAAACCGACAGGCCTAGACGATTTTCCTTAGTTTAATTTTTAACAGTTGCTGAAATATAAACACTAGTTTTTACCTGCAGCTTCGCCTGCTTACATAAAATATAGCCTATGTCACTCAGGAATAAAGTAGCTATCTATCGGTGTTTTTTGCAATGGGACCAGTTCTTTCAGAGATTACCTCCTATAAATAAAAACAAACTTACCCCTTTATTATATTAGTGTAGAATTTGTATACAGTAATGTCGATAGCATAGATGCAGGCCACATTTTTTTTCTCACTTTGCTGGATACATGATTAGACAAACAAAATTATCACCTTTGTCCTCAGATGTAAACACAGAGCAACAAAAAAAGTAATGGAGATAATAAATGATACCCTGTATATTCAAACATAATAGGAACAAGAAAAACAAACTTATTTTCTACTCTCTCATAATTTTAAGTAACGACAGCTGATCACCATGAGTCGCATAGATAGTGACTCTGCACTACCTACATACTTTAATCGATACCAATCAGTTACGTTATGCTACACTGTATTCGTAGATATTGTACATTTAATTATTTTTCTCTGAATCTGTTAAATCTATTTCACTAGAATGACAATTTCTGATAGTGTCTACAAAATGTAAAATTTTCGTATATACACGTGTCCGCATGCAGGGTTGGATACACTGTAATTCTCCTAGTAGTAGGCGTGAAAAATTCTCATTTCTCCCATCATTCCCAATACAGTTATTAAATATGACACAGTCTGAACAGGTCTTCTCGGAGGTGCATTTTGTAACCGTTTTAGGTATTTTTTTGGTCTCACTTTCTGTAACCATTCCAGCTACTTCCTTGTTCTCACATGTATCTTCTTGCTTTATTTTTTTCTGCATTGCTGTCCGTATTGCAGTTTTAAGTGCCGCGTCTATTTCGAATTGGTTATTCCAGTCACATGTAAATACGTCAGGTGACATGTTTCGCTTTGCTGAAATATAATTAGGTAGGTATATGCTAGGTACGCTTAATATAGAAAAAAAATGTGTGCGTGTACTAGTGTACACACGTAAGAAGTTAGTGTTGAGTAGGACTTACAAGAGGCGGTACATTTGTCCCGGACATGACGTCAAAATGTAAGAGCAGCTCAAAATTTTAAAATGTACTACTTCACATTAAATGTCGCGATAGTCGCGTCTCGTTACTCACTCACTCTTCGTAAGTCTGAGAGAGAGAGCGAGACATAACATTTTATTTAAGTCCTCTACGCACTATCCATCTGTATCTCTTTTACGTATATAGCGCTGTCCTGCATGCTGGATCCAGCAAGATTGATAGTGCGTAGAGGAGGTGCTACTCGTGCACACTAACGTAATGTCGAGCTTCTGTACGCCTCAATGTCATATTTGTACTCGTCACTTCAAATGTATTGCCGAGCTTCAGTACGCCTCGCCTCATTTGATGTGGGACATTGTACTGGCTCAGTACAAAAAAGAGCCTACTCTTACAAACTCTTTTTCAAATCGTGTCCTACCCAACACTTTAAGAAGTGAAACTTCTTTATGGCCTTATTTTTTTCGAAAAATGATCTACATGCAACTTTCCAGAAATATATATATAGGCGTGCGCTAAGATTTTTCAAAAACTCACCCACTAAAGGGGTATAACTACACCTTACCTTACCTTACCTTAACTTACCTTACCTTGTGTGAAACACGAATATTTGCTGTCGATACTTTTTTTTTAAAGTTGACAGAAGAAGCAATTGTTCGGATGAGGTAAATAGTGCTCTTTTAAAAAAAAGATGGCGCGTAACCAAAAAACGTGACGCGTAACCGAATAAAAATGTGACGGTAAATTTTTTTCCAACGCCGATAAAGAAGTTTCACTTCAAAAAATCACAAAATATTCAATGATCATTTTATTGAACTTACCCATTTTGAGGCTAAAGAAAAGGCTTCAGTCAGATTCGCTTTTTTACGATTGCACGTTACGTTGGCAACATTCACAACTCAGAATAGCAAAGAGAATTAAAAGAATTAAACACGCAAATAGTCGTACGGCACAGTCTTAACGTCGCTGCTGTCTGCCACTCTTTTGCGATTGGACGTTAGCGACGGTAACAAAACTAACTCATAACGATAAAATTTACGATAGCGTAGATTTTAACGTTACATATGTTTAACGATAAAATGTGCCAGATATAACGTTAAATAAGGTAACGTTATTTATTAGATAACGATATCTGCATCAAAAGGCTGTAACGATACCATATTTTTAACGGTATTTCAAGCCCTGCAGCCGATTGGCCGCCATAGCAGTCAGCCGCAATGAAACCGCGTTAAGCGGTTGGACCGCTCGAAGGCACGTTTCCCATAAACAAAATGGAGATCGAGATAACTTGTGTTATTTATTTATAATCCTAAAAACTACGAAAGAAACACGAACAAATTTGGCCAGTTCGCAAGCTGTTTTCAAATTTCTGCATTCGTTGGATACGCGGAATACGGTTGCTCGCTTCTTTACTACTGTGTGCGTACACCTTATCATTTTGTTTGTTGTAGCTCTCTTCTACGGTAAAAATTTTTTCATCCGAAAAAAGAATTTCCCGATATTTTTTTCCCGCATACCGCTTCAACAAAGCGCGTCATCACTTCGTCTGCATCTGAAGGGCCAACAGTTTCTGCTTACGTTTGGGATTTCTTGGAATTCGCGCCTTCACAGCTTTTATCACTGCTGGAGTCCTAACAGACCGAAAGGGCGACCACTTTATTACCTGTCATCTACACTAGAGTCTTCATTGTATCCTTTGATGGTACGATAAACGAATCTTTTGGTTATATTCAAAATTTTCAGTATGTCAAAAATTTTAATTGGCGCGTAACCGCAACGATGCAACGCAATAACTGCAACACGGTCTTCTTTAAGCGTCCACTCCAAATTTAAATGAGTAAAATTCTAAAAAGTATACATTTTTATTCTCATGAACAATTCGAAATTCGAATTCAATAAACTTTTTTGTGGCCAGCATTCTAAAAGAAAAGTTTTTACTGTGTGACAATACTTATGACCTGACTGTGTATATACAGGGCTTCCCACGGGTACCTCACACGGAGGGAAAGTATATTAAATATTGAAGATAGGATATTTTACCGGAAGAAGACATATTTTTTTTTTAATTATAACTAGAACTGCATTCACAGATTTTTAAAAATCGCCTGCTACAACGGGGAATTAAACTCGTGAAATTTCGAAAAAAAAACACGACATGTTTTATGATAACCATCAAAAGTAATCATAACAATTATTTTTTGATAAATAACATAGCATTTTAAATGAAAGAAAAGTCATAAAATTACGCATCAACGAAACAGTGCAATAAAAAATTATAATTTAATGCATCAAATGTTCAAAATGTGATCCAATTTGTTGTATGCAAATTCTCACTCTATTAATGTTTTCTCTGCCTGTCGATTTCATTATTTTTGCATGGTGAATGTTTGTAATAATACGTCTGAGTTAATTTTGTAACTCCTGCACACTGTCTTACCGGTCCTTGTATACTACATCTCACTGGCCATCTTATTTGTCCATAAGAACCGATCCAGGAAAGAAAGTGTTTATTAAGAAACTCGGCAGTTCTCCTACTGTTATGAGCCCCATTTTGCTGGAAAATGAGATTTCGTCAATTTGCATCATGAAGATTATTGATCTCACCTCTTAAAATATTAAGTATTTCTAGATATCTTTCCGTATTTAGATTCCCTTTGTAAAAAATGTATTAAGAGAACCCGGTTTTTAACTAAAATGAAAAACACAAAAAGAATAACAGTACCCTTAGCACGAACCAATATCGAATTCGAATAGTTTTCGAGTGCTAAATGTCACTGTCAAATGTGTACTGATTTTTAGTTCTCGTTACGTACTTTGTGGCGCTGCTGTATAAGTTTCCATACAAAATTTGACATTGACATTTCACACTCGCAAACTATTCGAATCCGATAATGGTTCGTGCTAGGGGTACAGACGCTTGAAAATGTATGTGTTCCATTTTCGAATTATTATTTTTACAAATTTCAGCCAATCGCATTGTAACTGAGTTCAAAAAGAAATGCATACGTACTACAGTTTGTATATCACTTTATTATTTTTATCGCGTAATAAGACATTCCTTTCCTTTTATAATGCTATGTTATTAAGTAAAAAATAATCTTTATGATAAACCCTTTCGATGGTTATCACAAAATATGTCGTGTTTTTTTCGAAATTTCACGAGTTTGATTCCCAGTTGTAGCAGTCGATTTTAAAAAAATCTGTGAATGCAGTTCTAGTTATTATTTAAAATGAAATGATGTCTTGTCTTGTCTTCTTCTTTCATTAAAATATCCTATCTTTAATATTTAATATACTTTCCCTTCGTGTGAGGTAGCCGTGGGACGCCCTGTATATTAAAACTTGTCAAATAATGCAAAGACCTATTTTCTGCATTAGCTATGTTTCTCAAAATACAATATAACGAAACTCATCACTCTTATCATTCAGACACTTCTTAACATGTGACACGTAACGAGATCACTTTCAAGTATTCGAATTCGATATTGGTTCGTGCTAAGGGTACCGTGTTGGTTTTTAACAACAACCTTACAACTGTTCTATTTCAGACTCAAGCAGTAGGAGAGGCAGCTTATTTTTCTTCGTGGGAATATGGATTGACTAAACACCCCAGTGTGAAGTCCAACTTGATGTTGATCATAGCACGGGCTAATAAGCCAGTCATTTTCACCGCAGGCGGCATGTACAATCTAACGCTAGAATCTTATACTAAAGTAAGAGTTTTTGCGTTTCCCTTTTTTAAATTATATTTTGTATCATGATGTTGAAAACAAATCTGATTCTTATAGCCACACCTCAAAGATTAGCGACGCCATAACTTTGTAACTGATTAGGCGTTTGTAACGTCCGGAAAAATAGTAACAATAGTTATGTTACATAGGTTTTTATCTTTTTATATCGGAAAGTTCAGCAGTGATGCTTAAGAGCCCTTTTACAAAATTGCGCCGCTGCCGTTTTGCATTTTACGGGTGATGTTTCGAGTCTTATAAAATAATTATAAATGAACTAATTATAAAAATATATACATATTTCAGTAGGTAGTTCAATGATGGTAGATTGTTTTATCAAAGTTTTTGATAGTAATTTTATTTGATTCAATATCAAAATACGAGTAAACCTGCATTGTTTTTTGGGAAAACTCACGGAGGTTAGATGTTTTTTTGATAATTAATGAGATGGAAAATCAAAATTCTAATACATTACGTTACAACAAAAGCATATTTCTGATGTCGTAGTAATTAATTTGATCTAATTTATTGAACATTATTTCAGGCGTTTGAAGTTGTGCATATTATCGTTTTGCCGTAAAGCAGCTGCGGTAGAACGATCAGTACAAAAAAAGGAAAATAGTATTTGCAAATATTATACATTAACTTACAATAGGAAGAATAAATCTTCTGTTTTCTTCTATTGGCAATAGTCGATTTTTTGCAAAAAATGCGAAAGGGCTCTCAATATTGCTCTAAGGGAAGGTCTAAGGACTTTATATGATTTCATGCCACGACGACTAAGTAAGTGGTGTTCTGGCGAGAAATTATCTTTAAATCTAACGTTTTATAGATATTTTGTGAGGTATTATTACATTATATTTTTGTTGCTTGAAATCATGAATTATATTTATTTTTAAAAACAATTTCCAATGTGATGGACAATGAAAAAAAATATCTCTATGATTTTTTGCTATTTAATTTTCTCTAATTGTACCTATAGAATGCAAGTACCATGGTGTAAATAATGAGTGTCAAGTCAACTAACCAGGGGTTAATAATTTTTCTTTAATCTTCCTTTATCATCATTTAATTAACTTACGTTTATGGTATATACTATGTCATAGTCAAAGGTCGATATGCAGTCTCTTTCCGGAATGACTGGTTTATCCTAGGTTTTACCAAAGCCTTCGGAAAGCCGAAATATATTCTAATTTCGCCTTTGACCAAGTCAAACCTTATAAATCCTAATTTTTCAGTCAAACGTCGATAGTAAAATAATCTGTTTCGGGTTTGGCCTTTATTTATTACTGCCCCTAATCTAACAAACTAATACAATATTCTAATGCTTAATGGAAGTATGACTAGTTTTGACTAAATTCTTTAAATTGAGTTTCGACGTTTGCCTAATCAATATATTGGGGTGAGGCTATGAGAAAAATTTTAGATCGATCTGTTTCCTGACCCCCCAGAGTATATCTGGCGTGGATGTATTTATACATACATTTCTATGTATGAATACTTCATTACATGAAACACTATAATTAATCCGGGAGTTTTTCAGAAATATGGTTAGTTTACATTTTTAAATGTTATTCCCGTAGATTTAGTTATGTTACTTCATTGATGGATATTAACGGTGTAAGTATAAAGTGAATTACATTAATCATTTTTTCAGTTGGTGAAGACTTCATATAGCGCGCTCACAGTTCTGCTTCGATTCAGGAAATCTTAATTATATAATAAATAAATATTGTAACACCAATTAACATATACCCAAAGTAAAGCCTGTAAGGCTTGTGCTATGGGGATACTAGAGTAACGGATAGTATACATATACTGATACATATATGTATCCACATATAGTATATAGTATATGGTCAAAACCACATAGTTTTGACCATATAGATTTTTTTTTAAATTACTTTTATTTATTCAATTTTTTTACAGCCCGGAGGTTTTGGGCCAGCTGAATTTGAATTACAACTCATGTCAATCAAAACCGTATAATATAGTGTTAAAATTACTAAATTAAAAATCAAGCCTTTTTTTAAACGTCCTGTAAAATTTAATTCGATGTAATTATACCGTTTTGTTCGCCAACTCCTCATAGTATTTTTTTATTCTTTTAACTAAAAATATCACACATAACCGTGTGGTTAGGTAGCATTTATCTTAATCTCTATTAAAACAAGTGCTAATTGAGTAAGAGCCCAGGCACTCCAGACTTTACTCAGGTACGCCAAATGTTAAATTACGTACTTTAACTTTTAAACAAAATGTATAATATGTTACATGTCATTAGATATTAAAAAAAGGTTATTTTAACAGCTGTGTGAGGGTGTCCTGTATCGTATAAAATTTCACCGACATGAAGCGATATTGAACCTTTTAGCAATTTTATTTAATCTAAAAAGGAACTAGTTATCAAGTATGATCACAAACTCTGCATAATTATGTTGTTATGTAAGTGAAAACAATAAAAGTATTAATTTGTCTGTTTGTTTCTTTATACATTTCTGGGAACAGGTTTAAAAATTCAATAGGATAAGATAAAAACTCTTTATTTCACAACACAGTAACAAAAAAAAAGTAGAAAAACACAGCATTGTACAAAGGGCGGTCTTATCGCTAATGAGCGATTTCTTCCAGACAACCCAATGAGCTGGAAATAAAATAAGGTAAGAGAGTAAGGGAGGTTGTGCGGAATACAAGGCAAAAGTTTTCTTGATAGTTAGATAATAAGAAGACGAAAGGAAAAAATAAAAAAATAACATCATTTCTCGCAATGTCCAGAGGGTAAAATTATTAAATGCGTGAATTGTCAAGTCCCTCATCTTTCTATTTTACGAGAGTGCCCAACCAGGAAACAGAATTTAGAAGAAAAGAAAAAATATCAAACTAACTTTCCACAGTTACCAAATACCAAAGTAGTCAGGTTATGGATAGCGTAGACACTGAAGACGAAGCTGCAGAGCTTGTCAATGACATCCGAGATATTCATAAAAAGGATGGTTTCGAAATCAGAAACTGGACCAGCAATAGTAAGAGAGTTCTTGAAAGCCTACCAGAGGAGGACCTGGCCCAAGTGCCGTTAAATTTAAAATCGAAGATGCAAGCGACGGCGAAAGAACTTTAGGATTGTACTGGTTTCCAGCTGACGACGTACTAACTTTTGATCTGTCATTGAAACAAGTAAGCGACGACATTGTGAAAGGTATACAGAAACCAACCAAAATGGGGGGAGCTACGGGTAGTGATGTCCATATCCGACGTCCAAGGATTTCTGGCACCATTGACTATTAGATCTTGCATACTGTTGCATGATGTATAGAGAAGCGGTATAGCTTGGGACGAACAAGTCAAAACGAAACGAAACCAGTACAATTCTAAAGTTCTTTCGCCGTCGCTTGCTCCTTCGATTTTAAATTTAATAGCACTTGGGCCTAAGTCCTCCTCTGGTAGGCTTTCAAAAACTCTCTTACTATTGCTGGTCCAGTTTCTGATTTCGAAACCACCCTTTTTATGAACATCTCGGATGTCATTGACAAGCTCTGCAGCTTCGTCTTCAGTGTCTACGCTATCCATAAGGTCATCAACATAATGATTACGCGCGATACTCTTTACAGCTCGAGGTTTCTCCTGTTCATACAGCAAGGCATTCTTGTTTTTGACATATTGCGCCACAAAAAGAGAACAACAAGCTCCAAAAATTAGCGAGTTCATGACGTAAACGCTCGGTTTTGCGCTAGCGAGATCATCTTTCCACAGAAAGCGCAGGGCGTCTTGGTCTTGTTTCCTAATTTGCACGCTCAGAAACATATCTTTTATGTCGCCTGTAAAGGCTATACGGCGCTCTCTGAATCTGAGCAAAATTCCGAATAAGGAGACAAGTAGATCTGGTAATTGTAAAAGGTAGTCATTTAATGAATGTCCCTGAGCTTTGGCCGCGGCATCAAATACTAAGCGCAGCTTTTTCTTGTTAGGGTTGTCAACTCCAAAGTGAGGCAGATACCAAAGACGGTCGTAAGACACTTCAGGATTGGTACAGGCATGCGCATAATTATTCTCAAGTAGATGCTGTACACGTTCTTTGTATCTTTTCTGAAAGTCAGGGTTCATACGCATCTTTTTCTCTACACCGTGGAAACGACTCAAAGCAGTAGGGTACGAGTTTACATCTACATCTACATGAGGTACATCTTGACGGATTCGTCTCTCCAGGGCAGACCAACTTCCCAATAGTCTCCGATTTGCTTTGAGGTCATATCCAAGATTTTGACCGCTTTGACGTAATCTGTGCACTGCCGTGGCCTGAGGCTAACACCAAGAGCATCAAGTGCATACGAACGCCTAATTAGATCCTCTAGTTCATCATGGCAGCGTTCGCTTTCGCGATGCGTTACAGCAGCGTGCAAGCATTGGTGGCTCCGTGGGCTCGGTGGCGGTGCTCGTATTATTTTCCATGTATACTCCAACCTAAGACAGTTCGAGTGGCGTTGGGATCTCCATCAATAGTTTCCAGCGGCGCCAGAAGATGGTAATTGTCTATCATTGCAGGCTTCATGAGTCCGGAGCATAAGTAATCTTTGATACCTGATAGGTGCTCATAGAGTTCAGGCTGACTGTACTGACCGGGTAAATTAAGTCCTTTTATTTTTCGTGCTACAATATTATATCGATCGGAATTACAACCGGAAATCTCCAAATCTAATAATTCAGTTTCACAAGACAGTACGCTATTGTCCCAAGCTCCTCGTACGTGTAAACTTTGAGTGCGACCTTTCAATCCAGCCTGATCAGCGACTCTCTCGTCAATTAATGTAATGGTAGAGCCGTCGTCTAAGAGAGCGAGCATCAGTGACAACTTCACCTCTGCTCTGTACCATATAAATGCGTATTGTATGACTATATGTATTTATAATAGTTAGTTTGCCGGATGATCTCAAGATTTTGCCTTTAAATACGTTCAAGAGGAAACTTAAAACTTGGTTGAATGGGAACTGTTTTTATTCTGTTGAGGAGTTTATGGGTTTATGTAAAAGACGACAGTAATCTACTATTTTTTTTTACCCCTGGGTTTGGACCGCTTATAGATAGTGCACTTTTATTTTTAGATATTTATAAAAAATTGTATGCCAGATTCTGGTGAAATGAGCGTGTCTCAACAAATAATGTAACACCTTTTGTACCACTTTTCTTGCAAATAAATAAATTATTATTATTCCACATTAGTCGAATTTTGTTTTGGACGGTCTCCATGTTGGACGGAAATACACTAACTTAGTAACAATTACTATTAAACAACGATGGATAAAAATAATGATATGATTATGTACGTGTACGATAAACTAGTAATGGTGACATAAATAATTAAGTTCCTAACCGTATGGTTGACAATGTGGCACGCAAACTCATATTATCGCCCACTACGTCAAGTCATATTTGCACTATAAAATATTCATGACATTTCACACAGCTGATCATGACGCCGACCATTTATTTAATTATTACAGTTCTAATAGAAACGAATCGTAAAATGTTTGGAGAAACATTTCCCTGTAAACAAATACTAATGCGAGCTGTTTTTTTGTTTTTGTCGCGTGTTCCAAAAAAGTTGAATGAAAAATAGAATAAAATTTTTTTTTTAAGTTTTTTTATATTGCACTATGCATGCGGTAGGTTGAAAAATATCCGTAGAAGTTCTCTAATGGGTTCTTAATTGGTGGTGTATATGTATGGGGTTTGTACATATCTTTAAAAGTACATATTTCATCATGAAAATGCAAATAAAGATCTTATCTGACTTTTAGCCTAAATCTCCCGATGTGTATGGAAATTATTCTTCAATTCTATATTTTAAGAAAAACATATTATAATTTCCTCAGTGGCTAACAATTTTCGGAACATCGTACATATATTTTTTTCCTGGGATATTCATTCAAATTGTTTTTATTTATCTCTTCTCTTCTCTCACTGCGTACTTTGGAGAAACACAATCTGTTTGTAATATTTTCTTGGAAAAGTAATCTTTACAGATTGAGTCCGTTATTTTAGCCATTTAGGGTTCCGTAGTCCTGACAAGGAACTCTTATAGTTTCGTCATGTCCGTCTGTCCGTCCCGTTTTGCTTGGTGACTATTAGCACTAGAAAGCTGTAATTTTGTGGAGATACGTATATCGATCACGTCAACAAAATGGTAGAATAAAAATTGGAAAAATATTCTTTTTTAGGGTAGCTCCCTACATGTAACCTGGGGATGGTTTTTTGTCATCATCAACTCCATCGTGTGGGATATCGTTGAATAGGCCATTTGAAATAACTTAGGGGTTCCGAAGACTATTTTTCGATTAAGGGATCCGTTTGCGAAATATTGAACTTTTTAAGTGCTAATTTTTGATCGAGTAGGGCGTCCCCCCCTCTAAAGGCTAAACTATTGGCTTTTAAAACCTGAAAAAATCATGATAATAGTGTTTTTTATGAGCTTTTAGAGAACTATAACGGTTAAGAGATTTATTAGTTTAAGAGTAATAGTCGTTCAAGATTGGTTAAATAAAAGTTCTTGCCTACTGAAAATTCCTTAGAAGAAAAAATTAATCATGATCATGATGAAGTTATTGCATTTATAATATATTTGTGTGCAATAAAAAATATTTATTATTATTATTATTGTGGCGTAAAGCCTTGCATTGTAACTAAATCTAAAAAAACCTATTTAAAAACCACAATGAAATATCATTGGTACCGCGAGTACCAACCGCAACGGCTTCCGAGTCGCGCTAACGTAAAATTTTTATAAAAAGTGTATAATCACTTAAAAAGATCGGTGGTTATACCGCATCATCCCCTTCTCAGGGGATGATCGCTTCAGATGAAGCTTTTAGTGAGTAAGAGTCTCACATAACCTTGCAGCCGGCTGTAGGGTAACCATGAGGATTTCACACCCGCTTCCTCGCCTGGGAGGAAACAATAAAAATATTGATGGCTATCATTCGTATTTAAACTAATAATAATATCGAATTAATTTTGACTTTGATTTAGGTATTTTAGTTGGAATACATAGATTGATATTAATTGGTTTTTCTAATTTCCGATATAGGAAATAAGGACTCCTGCTCAAATTATATTGTGATAACTACGGAACCCTACACTACTCGTGCCACGACACGCACTTGGCCGGGTTTTTCATATATAAAATCTTGAGAATATCTCACGTGCATATTGCTTACCCTAACCCCATCCCCTACCCGTGGAGTACCGGATATTTCCCTCACCGACTGAAACAACACCATCATAGTATGCTGCTATTTCACTGCAGTTTTCAAGGGTGCAAGTCACTTTCCTAGTTATCTCATTCTATTCGAGTGAGAACCCGCTATGATCTATCATTTGAATATATACACGCCTAGATAACGTATGAACTGCACAGAAGCGGCTCAAAAATATTGACTGCTTTCAGAGTCAGACAGTCTGACATTAGAATCACGCTCACATTGCGCGTAACATAAGCCGTTTTAGACATGTATGTAATCAAAGGATCTATCTTTTTTACTTCGGCTACTGTAAATAAAAAATAAAAATTCAAAATGACAATAAATCATTAAATAAGGTCCAAAAGCCATAATCGATTGGGTTGTTTCAGTTACAAACAATACTAGGAATGTTATAATCAGTTAAGATATATCTTATATTTAATCTGACGGCCTCTAAGCTCTGTATGTCACAAGGTTAATGTTAGGAACATTAATTTAGTATTTAGTGATTTAGTTGTAGTTTCTACACTACAACTCGTAGTTTTTAAATTATTATTCTATAGAACATGAGCTCTAAGCATCTCTTATGACGTAATCCAGAAAACATTGGAGTTTTATAATTCATAATCACGACAAATAACACGTTCTTAAAGCATAAAACAAAATCAATTTATAAGTTAAAATCGGTTATGGAAAGACGAAATGGGCTGAACGTTTAGCACATAATTTGGTATAGATCTAACTAAACTTATCTGG